TACTCAGAGTTTTCCTTCTTTGTTAATCGCAACGGATGGAGGGCTCGGCCGGAATGGCGAATTGACTGGGAGGGTACACCACAAAGTTTCGCGCTCAGCTACCCGTGGATTCTTGCGTTCGAACCAAACTTCATCGAGCTCCGTAACATGGAAAACGGTGCTGTGCATATTGTTCCCCGCAAGAACATTCGTATGCTGCATAGCAGTACACACGAGGTGAGTGATGTCTTTGCACCGCTACATTTAGGTATCAGAATGCTAACTTGAATTGCAGATTTTGTTTGCACATGAAGACGAAAAGGGAGATGACATTGTCGAAGCCATCGATTTTTGGAAGAGCAACCGCAAGTCAGAATTGCTCGGTTCATAACACTGAGCAACTCCTGGGCCTCGTAACGGGGAGTGTTTTCCTGGAAAGATTTTTTTTACTCTTCTCTTCTTGTATTACTTGGTGGCGTCCGAGTGCTGTGGCGTCAACTGTCCCTGGTGGAAGATACTCACAAGAGTGTTTACGGTTTTCGGCTTCTCTTGGGATCTTCTGCGTGAGAGAAGATGTAAGACATTAAGCCGCACTTCGAACCGCTGTGGATGTTGCCGCCGCGCTTCTGGCTATACAAGCAGTCGAGTCAATAGACAAAGACTTGATAGCTGGCTACGCTAGAGGAGCGGATCAAGGAGAGGGCGCTACCAAGATGTTTGAGGTATAGGTGTGGATAGGAGATGGAGCAGACGATAGCACTGGATGAGGACGAGATGAGATGAGACGATGAGATGGAAAAGAGACAGAAGGAAAATGATATCGTTGCTTGTACTCTGGAAGGATGAGCGATGTTGAACGGGAACAGTATGGCATGGCCTGACATGGCATTGCATTGCATTGCATGACATGACGTGGCAAGGCATGGAATATTGGAGCTTTTTTACTAAAGAATGGAGCAAGCGTGGTGAATAATGGGAATGGTAAGCCGCGATACTATAACAGATGAGATACATTCGCACAATTTCAGTAATTAAGCCCGATTATATATATGCATATGCACGTGTCTTGTCTGTATGTAGTTCGGAATAGTTCGTCTTGTCTACCTGTCTCTGGACCTAAATCTGAAATAGATCTGAATCTGAATCTAGGCTAATTATTCCTTGTATCCGTATGTCTTAGCCGCAACGCTGGCGGCCCACTATAATTGTCTTAGTAGTCCAATCCTGCTGTCTGTGACCCTGACATTTGCATGAGCCATGTGGATGTCTTGTTCACGACTCGACAACAGCAGTGGTGGTAATAGCTGTTTCAGCAGGGTATCGGGAGGGGATGCGATTGATTTACTGTAATTCCTTGACATAGAACATTATATCTCCTGGCCCTTGATAAAGGATGGCCTCACCGAGTTTCGAGTTGTCAAGGCCCATCAGCAGGCCTCGCCTAGTAAATAGGTACACAAAGCAGGGAAGCTTTACACTGTTATGTCGCCTAAAAAAGCATAGTCGGCACCTAAAATCTTAAGCGTCATGACAGGTTCTGGTGGACGTCAGTGCTCGATATAGCTGTACATGGTACCTGTACAGAGCATGGAATTTTGTTATCTCCAATTACATGTGACATCACTTTGACTCGACTTACTTTTGATCATCTTGCTCAGTCTTCTTCTTTTTTTCCCTTTTCCCCCATTAATCAACCCCCTGGTCTTTATTACAACTAAAAATCTGTACTACGATAAGGCGTTCATCGCGACAATCGTCAGTCAAGGATTGTTGCGATGGCTATTCCCTTCATTGGGAGACTTCGCCCGTAGGTTTCCCCTATCTCTTTGGCTTTGAGTGGCTTTGATGATCAGCGAGGCTGACACGCTCTGCTTGCCTGCCTTGCATGTGCCGACTTTACTAACTTTTAATCCCTTTAGCTACGAGTATCTTGCCCTCGTGGGCTCATTTATTCTCGTTGGTCTCGAGGCAGTCATTCGCGTTTTGACGTTGGCGTTGCGTGAGTTACAGACCGACCCCAAGCGGTGTAGGGACTTTTACTAACCATCAATCCCAGCCCCATTTCTCGTTTCGCTTTTTTACAGGGCTTCTAGGAGGCTTTTCAACAAGTTCTCTGCCCCTTCGAGGAGGCGAGCGGAGAGCAAACGTAAATGTCAGCGTTTTCCCCCATTAGCTTAAAATTTAGACTAACATCATTGATCAGCGATATCCACTTCAGTTCGAGATGCAGCAGACTTTGTTGAGCTGTGTCGCATCTGGGGTTATGAGGCAGAGGAACATATTGCTCAAACCAAGGATGGATATCTTCTAGGTCTTCATCGACTCCAATGGAGAAAGGGTGAAGAGGGCCAGAAGGTAAACTACGGACCAACAAGTTTGAAAAAGAAAGTCATATACATGCACCATGGCCTTCTTATGAATTCTGAGGTTTGGGTGTCTCTCACTGATGAGCAGCGATGCCTTCCATTCGAGCTGGTAGAAAAGGGATACGATGTTTGGGTGAGTTCCATTTCATCAACACGACTGATGCTCGAGCTATATTCAACTAACAACTAGTAGTTTGGCAACAACCGAGGAAACAAGTACTCCAAGAAATCGATTCACCACTCTCCAACTTCCAATGCCTTCTGGGACTTTTCCATCGACGAATTTGCTTTTCATGACATCCCAGACAGCATCAGCTACATCCTTGACACTACCCAGCAGGAAAGTCTGTCGTACATTGGTTTCTCACAAGGCACAGCTCAGGCTTTTGCCAGCTTAGCTATTCACCCCAAGCTTAACAACCAGGTCAACGTCTTCATCGCTCTCGCCCCTGCCATGGCTCCAGCCGGCTTGTCTAGTGGAATTGTCGACGCGCTTGTCACGGCATCGCCTTCGGTTTTGTTCCTTCTGTTTGGTCGTCGCTCTATTCTAAGTTCTGCAACCATGTGGGAAACTATTCTATATCCGCCCATCTTCAGCAAGCTTATCGATATGGGGCTGTCGTTCCTGTTCAACTGGCAAACTCTCAATATCTCGGCCAGTCAAAAGTTGGCTGCGTATCCTCATTTGTACTCATTCACAAGCACCAAGAGTGTGGTTCATTGGTTCCAGATCATTCGAAACAAATGTTTCCAGATGTACGACGACGACGTTCACCAGCCAATTAGTGTCACCTCGACCAGAAAATATTCAAAGGTAGCCAAGTACCCGACTCGCAACATCAAGACACCCATCGTTCTCGTATACGGAGGCAGTGACTCCCTTGTGGATATCAAGGTGATGCTGAAGGAACTGCCACCTCAGACTGTCGCAACCGAAATTCCCCACTATGAGCACCTCGATTTCCTCTGGGCAAGAGACGTGGATACGCAAGTCTTCCAGCACGTCTTTGATGCGCTTGACAGTTTCACCGACGCCGAGCATACAAAGGAGGAGTATGATCGATACTATGTCAGCCGGCAGGAGAGTCTGCTAGGTTCAGGATATGCATATGCGCGTGCTCAAGCTCATCCAGGTAGTGAGAGCGAGTCGTCGACTCTTACCCCAAGTCTTGAAGGGACGAACAGCGTCCAGCTTGCACCAGCTCCTCAACCTCACCGAGCAAGAGAAACTGCAAGCGGAATTCCATCGCCAAAGAACACAACACGGCACAGGGTCAACTACTCTATTGACAAGATAGGCTCCCCGCCAAGGACCCCGACATTCCAGACCGAACCCGCCGAACCTCCTGCTGGTCAAGAATCCTTGGAGGAGGGTGTCCAGACTGAACCCACTGAACAGCCCCTAGGTCAAGAACAGGTAGATGAGGGCGCCAGAACCCCTATAGCGGCAAGGGTCAAGGCCGGTGTTACGCGTAGCGGAAGCGTGGGTAGCAACATCAGCCTGGACGGCATGCGAGAAGGTCGAGGTATCACCATTGGAGCGAGTAGAGCCGTCGGTGGTGTGGTGACCACAAGCGGCGCCAGCGGCATCAACGGCGAGGGCAGCCCTGGAAGAGAAAGTGGCTCGGAGAGGAAAAAGAACAAGTAGGTGGTCAAGTGGAAGCAAGCAGATGCTGAAAGAGGGAGAGTCGAGTCATCGTGTTTTCCGATACAAGCCTTATATTTTTCCTTATGATTTCGTCAAAGCTGAGATATCAAACGGCGTGACTGACATATATCATAACAATCTAGGGTGACATTCAATGTCTTTTCACGATTGATGTAATCCACGGTGCACACAAGACTGTACTGAATTTTTGATATGGGACTCTATGAGGAAACGAAATTGAATGAAACACGCACGAATCAAATTGAAGGAAACATATATTACAGCCGAGAAGGGATCATGGTGCGAGAAAGGGTGTGTGGGTCAACTGTGATGTTGTTTGATCCTCCAGACCGACTTGGACATTGCGGCTGAAGTGAGCTAACACACTTCAAGCCAAGACGAAAACCGATCATTATTTCTTGTTGTTAGATCAATTGTCGACACATATAACAACCTGCTGTTCTTTCGGTCCAACAGGGCCGACGGGATATATCAAACAACGATGTCTGGCTCTAGGATTACTTGAAACACGAAATACGACGGAATTGGTTCCCGATAGCATCCTCCCGTAGCATGTCTAGTTTCTTACCAGAAGCCCGTAGCGGTCTATCTGTAATGAGATGATAGATCGTTTAGTCAGAGTAAACGAAATACGTACGCCCCGGCGGAGCGAAGGGACAAGTCTCCGATCTTAAGCAGTAAATAGTCGAAACACATGTGCATTCTTGTTGAAGCTTTCAGATAGGTCTTATCCATTGTCCTGTCCTCTCTTCACTATCTTACTGCAGTTGCTCCTTAGCGCGACTTGTAGGGCTGTCTCATCCTTACCTATGTGGCTGTCTTGAAGGATTGGTTCGGCCAGTTGTTTTCAAGCTGAAATATGTGAGCATAGTAAGACGGAAGAACAACTGACTCAATTCGAAACATAAATACTGGCCTAGCCTCCTCTTCTCTGCAGAATTAAGATTTTCTTTCCCTCTCAGTATTGCCTCTGTCACTTGTACATCATGTCGACGTCCGTTCCAGATCTTAACAATCAGACATGGATTGACCAAGGCGGCCTTTTTTACTTCTGCTTTCAGAACCCAAAGTCACAATATTGTGAAGATGTTCCTGGATATTATCAATACCGCGTCGACCTCGCTCCCAATGCTGCTTTCCTTGCCATATTTACCGCTTCCTTAATCGGCTTTATCGTCACTTGGATCATAACTCGCAGTGGCACCGCCTTCAATGTTGCTCTGATCCTCGGTCTCATCTGCGAGGTTATCGGCTACGCGGGACGCATCTTGAGTTGGCAGAACCGTTGGAGCGAGAATGGTTTTCTGGTGCAGATTTGCTGCCTGACTATCGGTCCTGCGTTCATGGCTGCTGGAGTGTACCTCTGCCTTCGGAGAATTGTATCAGCTTTTGGGCCTGAGAACTCAAGGCTTCCCCCAGAATACTACACTCGTATAGTAAGTTCATTTTCGTTTGGTGTTGGTGATATATCTCCATGTTCAACACTAACATGTCTTTCTTTAGTTCATCCCTTGCGATGTTGTATCTCTCGTCCTCCAAGCCTTAGGAGGTGCCATGGCCTCGATTGCTTCTCATCAGCACAAGAGTGCTGATACCGGATCAAACATCATGATCGCTGGGCTTGCTTTCCAAGTCATCACAATCCTTAGCTTCATCGCATGCTCAGTCGACTTTGCCATTCGAACGATTCGCCGTCAACGCGCTCTCGGCGATGCAGCCCTCGATCAACGTCCTGAAATTGTCAAGGTTCGCAACTCGACCCGGTTCAAGGCTTTTCTTGGTGCCCTGTCCCTGGCCACTTTCTGTATCCTCTGGCGGAGCGCCTTTCGAGTGGCAGAGTTGTCCAGAGGGTGGGAAGGCCCCATCATGGGTGACCAGTACATGTTTGTTGGCTTTGAGGGGATCTTGATAGTGGTTGCGGTGGTGGTTCTCAACATCTTCCATCCTGCCATCTGTATGCGGGAACTGTTGGAACTAGATGATGGCGGTCTTAAGGGGCTTTGGGGATTCCGTGGTCGCAAGAGCAGGGCTAGTACTAGCCAGGACTCGACCGATTACGAAAGGAAGACACCCGCGAGTGAGACCAAGGCACTATAGTTTCGGCATGGGCATGTAACAATCTCCATGGCTCCTTAATTGGTCAATAATGATATGACACTGCAGCTCAGTTATACAGAATAAGGTATTCTGGTGTTTGTAAATTTTAATCTAAACACTTAGTCAGTGCCAAATGTCTCTTGCAAATGCCTGATTGCGTTTTCTATCATCTTGTATCCTCGGTCTATCACTCCATGAAGGGAAAGAATCGAATGTGTTCCGCCCTGTACCATCAAGGTCTCAACATCAACTCCCAACCCTTTCAATTGCTGACTGAATTTCGACGCCTCGGGAGCAAGAACATCCATCTCTGCAATTGCCATCCACGTCTTTGGAAGCTTCTTGAGAAGAGATTCCGGAGCTAGATTAGGGCTTGCGTCCCATCTTGAGCGATGGTCGTCTTGGGTAAAGTAGAGCTTACGATACCATTCCATTCGAGAAGGTGTAAGCCAAGGGGCGGTCTCTGCATTGGGCTTCCAGACTCCGTCGACAGTAGCAGTGTTGTCGACAACTGGTATAAACAGAAGTAGTGACACTGGGGGTTGGGTTATGGTGCTTGGGAGTGAAGGCCGCGCTGTTGGCAGAGCGACTTCTGGGTTTGATGCTGATATAGCAGCGACAATTGCTAGATTAGCGCCAGATGAAGTTCCGCTAATAGAGATACGTGAAGGATCTATTTTCTGTAATTCGGCTGGAGAAGATGCAACCCATCTTACAGCATCGATCGAATCCTCGACCGCAGCTGGGAATGGATGTTCAGGGGCGAGGCCGTAGTCAACACTGATAACTAAACAGCGTGCTCCTTGGTCAAGGGTTAGCGTTTCATGCTCAGAGATAGGCACTCATAGACATTACATACTCTCACAGGCCCAGCAGCAGAGATCTGTGCCATTATTCAAGCCTCCTACTGCCCATCCACCACCGTGGAACCAAACGAGGACAGGCCAGCCTCGCTCATCACACTGGCCTGTAGGAGTGTAAACCCTCACCCTGAACCGGCCAACATGATAGTCGTTGATACTTCCAACAGGAATAGGCTTGGTTCCTCCCGGAGGCAGAGATACCTTCTTTGTTCTTGTCGAACCATCCCAATCTTTGATCTCATCTGGTTCGATATACTGTAGATGTGCCTCATGATAAGCGACGTATTGGGGATCTAGACGGTCACGAATAGCGGGGTGGAGGGGCTGCCAGATTTTGCGGTGTGCATCTTCTGTCATTGTAATTGTGGGAAGACGATTTAGAAGTTTTGGGTTATGTTTCGAAGAGTCTCGGTATGTTACGTTACAAGACGTGAGGTTCTTGAAATGACTGGAGCTGATTCAAGTTGTCGATTCAAGGGTTCAATGTGAAACCCGATTGAATTGAACCCCACCATTAAAAGTAAAAGACCCGCAGACTTCAGCATCATCATCTTATTACAGTAACTTGATCAAACAATACTATTTTCGCTTACAAGTTAAAATATTCCGTAGCATGAGTTCATCGCAATTAGGTTGCTGGTACTTACTTACCCTCATGTATCCGCTGACTTAAGTTCTGTGTTAGTTATCCACAAAAGAAAGACTCTTGACTTCACATGACCCAAATCAGGCAAGAATAGCCAAAACATGAAGCTAAGGGTCGAGCCAGTCTTGAGAGCAAAGAGTCATGGAACGACGACTGTATTAGCACGTTTGAGAAGAGCAAGTCAGCCTGCAGGTTCGGTAATTTGACACGGATTTGATAATTGCTGTTGGCTATAACGGGCGAACGGTTTCATCCAGCAAACCGCTTTGTATAAGTGGAGAGACAAGTTTAAACCAACTGCCAAGTCGTTATGACATGGGTGATGTGGATATAGCGAGATGAAGTTCGCTTCTTGGCTAGTTACTTGGGTATCATCCAAGCCCAAACCCAGGGTCTAATTGTACATGGGAATGAGAGGAGGTTTCTCCCAAGTAATTCTTCCAACTTGTGACTGTATGTACTATAGGGCTGGGGCTCAAGGCGGCTGACATGCTTCGGTCGCCCCGTAATAGGCCGAGTTTATATGTTGCGGCCCGTAAGTATATGCAGTCAGATGAGCGTTTGGTGTGGGATAGATCATTTACATGATACCACGAAATCAGCCCTACAATCGGCCTCGAGTTAAGTTTTTTTTTTTTTTTGGAGAAAGAATGATTCTGGGACCTTGCGATTGGATATTCAACGATTCACATGTGTTGTTGCATCGTTCCACGAGGTATTCACTGTACAGCAGGTCAGGACTTACTTCAAGAGACAGTTAGGTTAGTACCTAGGTTGGTACGCATCTCGAGTAGATGCTAAACTCGGCAAGACAGAGAACAGGTCTTTAAGATCTCATTTGCCATGGTTTCTTAACATTATGTCCCCCGTTAAATAATAAACTTGTATGTAATTTGTCCAACACAATTTTAACTGAGTCCCGTCGAATACGAAAAGCTTTTGTATATTGTGCCATGCCTCCCCTCCATCGCTGCACTGACGTAAACATTGCAGTACGGGCGGTTCATCCGCTAATCTGACAGCGGGAAAGTAGCGAGACCCAGTACTAAGGTATTAGATACAGGTGTACCAAATGATAATCTGTAGGATGCAGACTTCGCATGGATGAATCTCAGTACAAGAATTAGATTTTAGATTATAAAGGAGAACCGTTTTGTTAACCGGTCGTGACGAAGCTAGTAACCATAATTCTCAACATTGTCCGAGTACCTACCTATGTAGGTCATACTCCGTGCTATGGATGTAATGAGCACGAGCCTTTAACCGATGATGGTGGCACAAGGCCGAGTTCAAAGTTCTCAGGGTTCCCCAGGTAGGGAAACAAAGGGTGGAGTCACTAAAATGTACACACTGACAGCATTTGTCTGTCAAGACTCGCCCGTTGAATCTTGTCATCATTTAATTGTGGCTTGCGACCTTAAACAACACAGACTATAACATCAACTCAAGGCTTTCCCGACGAGGACCTTTGCCCTTGAGAGCCTGATTGATCTTCAGTGACGCCTCATCAATCAATCTCACACTCACTCGCTTAACCCTGCCTTAACACCACCCAGCCAAATTCTGACTGGACCTGGACAACAGTGAGCGAGAGAGACTGATCGTTATTTCAACATTAATTGTCTTTTTCTTCCGGTCATCTCAGGACTAGTCTACCTTACCTACATACAGGACCTGCGCTTGCAGTGCCCACGACACAGACCCATCATCTCACACCGTAGGACGTACATAGGTCATAGGCAGTCCAAAGCTCTCTCTACTACTACTACCACCAAAGGACAGGATAACTTAGTACCCAACGTTAGTGGAACTGAAGGACCCTGCCCAGCCTACCTACATACATACGCATACGTCTGAGTAAGAGGGGCTCTACTTTCAGTCATTCAATTAATCAATCAATCCTCCCGCGCCCTCCGCTCATCACATAACCATCGTCTCCCTCCCTCCACCGAAACCAGATCCATCTACTCCGCCGAAGCTCACTCGACCCCCCTCGCTTTGATTTTTTAGCAACCTCGTCGCTCTTTTTTCTTCTTCTTTTCCTTCTCTCCCTCTCCTCTTAATGGTGTCAACGACACTGAGCGTTATATTCAGCTCTCACCATATCTGATACCGTCCATCTCGACCCCTCAATGCGACCCGCCCGCGCTCATCAACCCTCGACGTCCTGTACGAGGTAGACGCCCGAAACGCCAAGCCCAAGAGGCCCTGACTTTTGTTCTTACGACTGTTCCCACAACCTCCGTCACTACTTTTCCACTCAAACCACACCTGTCGTCGTCATGTCTTTCCGAGGCGACGACCAGCGAAGATATGGCCATGTGCCACCTGTACGGTACCCAGTTGCTGGTCGCGATCAAGAGTACCAGCAACAACAACAACAACAGCAGCAGCAGCAGCGACCATCACCATACGAAGACCTCGGGCGCCGAGCTAGCTTCAACGGCGGCGATGATGCCGCCTATCTTCAGCAACCCACCAGCCGTTCTCCCGGCTTCGGTTCTGGCGAAGATGAGCTCTTCATAGACAACAACTCCGCCGCTCGGCCTGGTTACGGTTCCACCAACAGCGCCCTATCGGGCTACCAGCACCAGTACCAAGACGTGCCTCCCACGCCTACGTACTCGTACAACCCTCAAAGCTTTGCGCAGTCGTCGGGCTTCTCGCGATCGACTTCTACCAACGCTCTCCCATACCGCAACCAGAGTCAGACCCAGCCTTCCTCACGTTACGCCTCCAATGCCAGCTCCTACACACCGCAAGCTTACGACCCATCTGCTTATGCAAGCACCAATGTACCACAACGACAAGGCTCCTACCAAGGATATAACAACTATGGCCAAAGCTATGGCTCTCAACCATCTCCTGGCTTCAGTCAATCCTCTGGAGGCTACCCGCACTCAGCGGCTTCACCTGCTTTGTCGTCTGGGTTCGATCAGCCATTACGAAGCCCATCAACTGGTGGATATGACCAGTCATACAGCCAATATCCGGGTCAATTATCAAACGGAGGGGCGTCTTTCTCAAACGCCTCGCAGCCTCCATATCCTACTACAGCGCAGATGCCCGTTGGGCCGTACTACTCCCCAAATGAGCACAATTCACTCTACAACAGGGCATCCCGTTCAAATTCCCAAGCCTCGCCTATCGGCTCTCCCTCGAACGCTGGATCAACTTCACCCGGACTACAACGGCATCCGACGAATGCACCACTGCCGATCAGGCCTGGCGACGATGAACTTGCCTGGACCGCCGGACACGAACGGATTACGAGCGACAACCTGATGCAGGAGTTGGAACTTGAGTTGGGCAGCTCCGGACAAGGTTACCGTCCGCTCCCGGAGCCTGAGAATGGTCGATACGACGAAGATTTTCATGGCCAGCAGCTGCAGCGTTTCGATTCTGGCGCTACCACAATCCCTAATACAGCCAGCCGAACAACTTCAGGACGAACTGGTCAAACCGCTTACGAACCCGAAGATGATGACGACGACGCGTACGGAGAGGCTGGTCTGATGGCTATGCGACAGGCTGAGCTTGATGAACAGCGCTTCAGCACTGGGTTTGGATACACAGACATGCCCGTCATGGCAGACCCTAGCCCGGAGCCCGCTCATACTCCCGCCCATACCAACTCATTATCTACGAATATGTCAACCAACACACTAACTACTCACCCCGAGGAGCAAACTCATAGCAGCGACAGCGAATTTGCCGGCGTTGACTTGGGAATGCTGGGTGGTGGCTTTGGTGGCACCTTGACTTATGGCGGAGATGTAGGATCACCGCCCAACTCCTCCGGTCAAGATGTTGGCCGACCTCTCCCTACGCCGGGTCACTTCAATCGTGCGTATGATCAAGGTGACAGCGTTCCGGCGTTCAAGACAGCAGAGGTGGACTATGGTGGCACAGGGGGCTTACAGCCACCAACACAACATCGATTGAGCTTCGACGAGGAAGACGAGCGGGTATCACTACGTTCCCGACAAAGCGGAACAGACTCACCGAGCAAAGATGAACTACAAGATCTATTCTATCACCCAGGACTGTCAAGTCGACCTCTACCAGCTATCCCAGGACCTGGATCCGACAGTAGCTCGATGCTCTCAGTCCAGACCAACAACCGTCAACAGTATCAGCACGCATACTCTCGTAGTTCAGACTCACGATTTGGTGCGCCGGATAATCCTGAAGCTTACTATACTGCTGGTCAGCCCTATAATCCGCAACCCGAGCGATCCATCTCATTGGCTGGACACAGCCACACACCTCAGGTACAAGCACCCGCTCGCTCCAGGACCGATGCCGCCGAAGAACGGAGGAAACTTGCCAGACATGGTCACCATCACGTACCTTCTAATCAGTCTTTCCCCGAATATGAGACTCCTGCTGGCTCAATAGCAGCCTTTGATGGAATCACTCTACCAAGTGGCCGAAAGAAGAAATTCGTACCTTCAAAACTCAATGCAGCCGATTTCCGCAGATGCCCTGAGCCATGGGCGCTTAGTGGCCTTGAGGCCTGGATCCGCGAGATGGGAGAAGGCGAGCAGGATCTAAGGGCCAAGTCAATCGAGGAAGCATTGATCAACTTATTTACCGGCAAGATCCCGATGATGAATGTAGCAGACGCCGAGGTTCTCAGCACGCACGTAGTGACGTCGATGTTGGAGCGCGGTGTGCTTATACCAGAAGAAGAATGGGTCAAGCTTGGAAACGGACGCATCTCCGGAGTCCTGTGGCAGTTGACAGGCTCTGGATGCTATGCTCCCAAGGTGCATGATGAAGAGATCGGCGGCCGATGTTACTCACACCATTGCACTCGTACCCTGAAGAAGGTTGATCTGGAGGAGTTGTCCCAAGACTCAAAGCCCGCTGACGAATGGCACGTGTTCTATGGTCTCAGCAAGGCCGACTGGGAATCGAAGCCAAAGAAGGAAGTTGACCGTCAGAATATCCTCCATGAAATTGTCACTGGCGAAGAGAATTATATCAAGCAGCTGGATATCTTCCGCATATATTACCGGGATCAACTTCGCATGATGCAACCTCCAATCTTAAAGCCCGAGAAGCGAGATAAGTTCTTGTTTACGGTGTTCGGAAAGCTTGATGAGGTGCAGGAGATCAACAAAGATCACTTGTTGTCGCAGCTCAAGTATCGACAACAGGAGCAGGGTCCTTGGATCATCGGCTTCAGCGATCTGTTCCGAGAATGGATCAGAAAAGCCAAGTCGGTATACATTGAATACGCCTCGGCTTATCCCAATGCGGTTTATCAGGTTCGCAGAGAAGCCGATCGCAACATTCTTTTCAAGCGATTTTTGGACGACATGCAAAAGCAGAAGGTCTCATCCAAGCATGACTGGACTCATTACCTGATTGCGCCAATTCAGCGTCTTCAGCGTTATACTCTTCTTCTTGAAAGTGTCGAAGGCAAGATGGTTACCGACAGCGAGGAAAAGACAAACTTGGCCAAGGCTATCGCCGAAATTCGACAGGTAACTCTGGAGTCTGATACCAAGGTTGCAGAACAGAACAAGAGAGTCCAGATGATGGAGCTGAACAGAATGCTCGTGCTGAGGCCAGGCTTCCACTCCGTGTTGAACCTTGACCATCTCGGCCGCGAACTGATCTTCCAAGGAGACCTGCAAAGAATGGGATCAAAGGGAGTCAGATGGGTTGATACGCATGCCTTGCTTTTCGATCACTACATGATTCTGGCAAAGACAGTGACACCGAAAGAGGGCAAGGACAAGAAGTATGATGTTTCAAAAGAGGTATGCAAAATCTGCTGGCTGATACCGTGGTGCTGTTACTAACACAACGCAGCCTATCCCGATGCCTATGTTGTTCCCAGAGAGTGTCAACGATGAGCCAGTACAGAAACAAAAGGGCATCACCGCTCCGCTAGGCAGGACAACAGCAGCTTCTGCCTCTACCACTCAACTTAACAAAGTGGGAACTAACACTGGCAGACCTGGGCTGGAACATGTGGCTACAAACTCCTCTCTTGGCTCGTCCCTGACTCCGACTGGTTCTAACGACACTGAAGGTAGAATTTTGTACCCTTTCAAGGTCAAGCATTTGGGTCATGAGGTGTATACCTTGTATGCATCATCAGCAAAGGATCGAGCCGACTGGTGCAACATGATCATTGAGACCAAGACACGACATGCCAAGGCTCTCTTCTCCCAGAACGCCGAACCCTTCAGACTGCGAGTGCTTGCGGATGCTGCTTTCCATTACGACAACACCTCTGTATATGCCAGATACGCAAGCGTACCAGTCAAGGGCACTCCTCTGGACCGGGCCATCCATGAGCTGGAAAGTGTTCTAGGACCAGCTCAAGGCGTTGCTCCCGTGTGCCGTGCCCAAGTCAACTGCGCCACAAGCTTTACTGCCTTTGGAAAGTCCGTGATCGCCATTGGAACCGATTATGGTGTCTACATATCAGAACCATCGAACCCCCGTGGATGGCAGAGGGTATGTAGTACCCCTATCCCCTCCTTTGACAAAACTAACACTCTTTCTAGACAGTTCAAGCCAATCGTGTGACTCAGATCGCAGTCCTCGAAGAGTTCGCTGTCTGTGTGCTCATTGCAGACAGAAACCTCATTTCCTATCCCCTGGACGTAATCGCTCCAGTTTCTGATTTCTCGGCTCCTCTGAACGACAACCCCCGACGAGCGCCGCAGAGACTGGCTAAAGATGTGACTTATTTTGCCACAGCTAAGATGAAGGACAGAATGCTTCTTTTCTATAAGCGCAAGGAAGGTCTACATACGTCGTTCAAGGTTCTTGAGCCCATTTTCCAAAAGTCTACCGAAAAGAAGTCGCGACTCTTTGGTGGACGCAAGACAAGTGGAGGATCCGCAGAGACATTCCGTGATTTCGACGAGTTTTTCTTCCCAACTGAGTGCTACTCACTGAGTCTGTTCCAAACGTACATTGCAGTCGCAACAGCCAAGGGAGTAGAAATGCTCACACTAGACAAGAAGCAACCGATGTCAATTCCTGATCTCAAAGCACCGGCAATCGCTAACATTGCCAGCCGCATCCAGAATCAGAAGCCGCTGGGTATGTTCAGACTCAACGAGAATGAATTTATCGTGGCATACGAGGACTGTGCGGTGTACGTGGACAAGCACGGCGATGTCAGCCGCACACTTATCATGGAGTACACGGGCAAGCAGAAGAAGGCTCGTGGAGCGATCATGTACGGACAGTATCTGCTTCTCTTCAACGAGGACTATGTTGAGGTGCGAAATGCGGAAAACGGACGCTTGCGTCAAATCATCGCTGGGCGAGATGTGCGTGTTCTGGATCTCGGCGTCCGGGGCCCTACGGGAAGAAGCACATTGAACCCACAGTCACATAGCAACGGTTATGTGCAGACTTCGAGCGCAGGTAGTGAAGGGTCAAAGGGCACGGTCAAGATTGCCATGTCACACCCTGAGCTTCCAGGTCGACAGATTGTTTTGGAGATGCTTTTGAATGACGGTCACATGGAGAAGTGAGAGGGAAGAAGCGAACGGCTGATATAATGGTTATGATGCAGATCCGTCCTGAAGAGACGTCTCGGCCCACCTGGAGTGGCAACAAGATCTTAAAGCAACATGCATGACCTGAAATCACAAGGTTGATGTGTGATGGATGGTCAGAGGAAGAGGAGCTCTCTTTGCTCGTGTACATGTACATATTGACCAGTTTCTCACTTGATGTTCTATGGCCCTATAGCCTAATGATTGGATCTATGGCGGAGGGGGGATCTTTGTGGCAGGGCGTTCATAGGTGGTGCAAGGAAGTTGCTGGTGTTATGAAACCCATCATGAATGATACCTAAACAATATTAGAGGAGATAGTTTTGGATAATAGCAAGTCACTGTGACAGGTTATGACGACTTGTGCGTAACATCCTCAAGCGTACCGTTGCATCTCAACAATTACAAGGGCTAGACGTGTCTCATCCATATTTGTTCGTTGAACCCAACCCTTCTCTGCAGGAGAATTACTCTACATAACCTGTACGAGTAAAAAACAACTACCTATTCCGAGAGATCTCCTGAACCTGGAATTTGAATTTCCGAAACTCCCTCCTTTTACGCAGCAAATGCGTCCAGTTTTAATCCAGAGTTCCACAACCGGCACCTGTTAAGATGCTGCAGGGTGTGGGGATTAGAAACCATGAGATATGTCCGGTAGAGACGTTAATTTACGGCCATTGTCTTGTTTGTCGAAGCTCAAGGGTGGATTTAAGGCTTAACCTCCCGGATGGTCTCCTTGGCATCGGCCTTGATGTCCTCAACGACACCGTGTAGGCCCTTCTTCTTCTCGGACTCGTACTTGAGAATTCGGGAGACCTGAACGACACCAACCAGTCCGAGGAAGAAGTTGACGGCAGCAAGGCTGTAGTGGAGTGTGAGCCAATGTCTAGGATATTTAGAGAATGGATTATACGTACAGGTAGTTCTTGGGCTTGATGATCAAGCACCAGCGAGTCCAGATGATACCAGTGCAGGTAAGGGCGAGGTTCTGGGTGAAGGAGAGCTTCTCGGCGGGACGAGCGAAATCGGAGATACCGGCAAGGACAAGAGCCCACTACAAGCGACGAACCAAGTCAGTATGTGTGCTTATCTCGTTTGTACCGACGTAGCCGTCTTCGTAGGCGGGATATCGCGAGTTGTAATTATCGTCAACGAACCTTCATGACAGGAGCCCTACAACCACGCATATTAGCAAACCCCGTTTCCACAATCCAATCTTGATATTGGTTCGGATGCTCTCTCACCAGAAGTGCACAGTCTTGAAGCCAATCTCGCTCTCATACATGCGCTTGAACCAGCCCTGCTGCTGCTGTTGGGCGCCATCGGTGCTCTGCCATCGACGGCCGCTGCCCTGGTAGAAGTTCTGTCGGAAGGTCTGCTGGCGGAAAGCCTGGCGAGCAGGCTGAGCAATGGTGGCCTGGCGGAAGAGAGGGCGCGAGGCGCGGAAGAGAGTGTTTGCGGACGAGGCCATGGTTGCTATTGAGTATCAGTATCAGTACCAATGTTAAAACATGTATGCATGCACATCAGGTATCAAATCTAGGTTAGTCGGAACAAGTTGGCGCGCATTCAAAATATTTTGCGACAAGTACATAGGTAAAATAAAAATGACGCAATTGCTTCAGTATCCGAAAACTCAATCACTAACTTACATCTTTTGGTGGAGAGGAGATGCTTCTTCGGACGGGACGAGTTGTATAGGTATTCTAGTCAAGTCGAAAAGACGAGGTTCAATTGAAAGAAGCTTTGATTGCGGATAGGCGTTGGGGCAAGGGTCGGTCGCTGTCGCCCCGAGATAGCCCCTACAACTTTTCCAGGCTATGGATTTAGTGGGTGGTGCGCTAATTCCCGTCTATTCTTTTGGAGAGATTCTAAGCGCGATGCCCGGAAACCGGAGATATCGTGTGCCCGGAGTTTAACGTGGGGGAAAATGTGTCAGCGGCACCGGAGCATGTGCATAAAATGGTTATGCAAAGAGACAACTTGCGTTATTACGCCATTAGCTTTTATGCCACTCCGCCTTCAGTTTATTCCGCCCGAGCCTCATTGAGGATCCTTGCCAACCACAAGCTCGCAATTACTTAGCACTATAGGCACTTCAAGGTCGACCCCGACGACTCCCTCGCTGTCCAACGACTTGAACAATCCGCCCAATTCCCTTCACCTCACCATGTCGGCAAAGTACGCTTTCGCAAAATCTCTCCGCGAGGTGCGATTCCTCTTTTGCCAGACTTCGGAGCAGAGCGCGGCCCTCCGGTATGTTTGAACCATTCACTCCGGAGTAACGACCATGAACATACACAACGAGTAGTCAATTGGAGGAATTGGAGTGCACAAGAGATTGGAGAACATTACCGAAAGAATACACAGCTAGAGGGACATCAAGACTGACTGTACTTGCGCCGACACAGATCATTCGTTACTCGATCGTATCCTACCATGAAGCGCAACAACCCCAACATTCCTATCCTCATTCGTGAAGCCGCCGGCACTCAACCCAAGGTCTTCGCCCGATACGGTTGGTACCCCTCGAGCCATCTGCAACTCCCACGACACGACATGGCACGCACTCAAAGACAGCGATACTAACATGCCATCTATAGAGCGAGGTGTTGAGAAGTCACAGATCCTCGAGGGTCTTTCCGACAAGGAGATTGAGGACACTGTTACTAGCCTGGTCCAACCTGCTCAATAGACGATTATTGCTTGTTATTTGCGAAAGAGACTTGAACTTGAGAGTGGGGGCCTTGAAGTCGGGTTCCGCGATGATGAATTGTACATAAGGGTCAAAATCAGCATGCGACAAAAGAGTATTGCATCACCATAAAAACCAATCTCTCGTCTCATGGGTCTATGACTTTTGTGTGAGCGACTGGCGTTGCTATACAGAGGGTGTTTTCCAAATACCGGCGTGTTTGATTAGGTGAGACTACTTGCAACCAACAGAACTAACTCACTTGACTTTTGGATGTTATAGCAGCATGGCTGATGTATAGTAAGTGGGTGACTATAAAGGGACGAGTGCATTCACTGGTCGATAGCTGTACCATACTGTGGAAATGTGCTTGATGTACTATCCTCTCCTCAACTGTTACATTTGTCTCATGTGTCATGATCGTAATGAATGACAGCCACCCAAATACAATAGAGTACTTAATGGACAATCCAAGTTGCCCACATTCAATGCAAGTTCCACAAATCTACACCCCTTTTTGTCCTGAGAATCCCCATGATGATATTGACCTTAAGTCAAGCAGTGAACAATACCAAAATTTGCGCATCTGTGCCCTCATATGCTGTAAACCATTCCCTCCCATATTTCATCATTCTTCATTCCTTGTCAAGGCCGTCGCTCATCTTTAGGTGACTGGAGAGCCCTGTTCTAGGCCACCATTTTCCACCGCAGCTTTCGTCTTTGCGCCCCAGATCGAGGGTGTTTGCGGCTTTGATGGGGCACGATCCCGAGATGCTGGAAGAGAAGGCCAATCATCGTTGATCAGGCCAGGCTTCCTGGTTTTGGTAACTGGTTGTTTGGGAGTTCGAGGTGAATCCTGGGTTGCGTCCTCTGTGCCCTCGGCCGTTTCTTTTCTCGCGCCTAGTGTAGCGGCTCTTTCTTTGCCCTTCGCTCGCTTGGGGCCTTTTCCCGGCGTCTTTGCATGGCCCTGGCACGCTCCCTCTTTATCGTTTGCCAGGGTCTCTTTCTGAGCCGCTTCCGATAGAGCCCGTCGATGTTTTGGGGCTGAAGTAGCTACCTCAGAAAGCATGGAGTCGTCGGTAGGAGCTGCGCCCAGGCCAGACTTCAGTGGTTCTTGAATGGCGTTTCGTGTGCGATTGGTTTCATCTTCTGATATGAGCCTATCGAAATTCTCGATTCCGTCAGTTTCAGGAGTTATTTGCTTGTCATTAAGTGTCACTCTAGATGGCGAGACAAACTCCTGTGCTTTGGGATTCAGTCGACTCATTGCACTGTTGTCGGGCCCATGTAGGCTTGGTGAACTAGTAGAGGCAGAAGAGCTCTGACATTGAAAGGCAAAATCCGATGAAGGGGGTGGAGTTTGGGTGTCCGTGGGCTGCTCTGCAAGTGCTGCTACAGTCATAATGGCACGGGGGCGACGTGTCTTGCCCATACGAAGCGAACCTCCCCTGCCGACCCTGAATCCCTTACGGCCACGGGCATCCTCATCAGGTGAATCAGATTCATCGTGAGAAATTTCCTGATTGTTTCCATGCTTCTTGCTTCGTTTGGAGAGATCGGATGCAGAACGTTGTTCGGGGTCGTCATGTTGCCGCTTTGTAGGGGAGAATGATTCAGACGGCTGATTATCGGGGCCAATTGTGGATGAAAGTCCGTGATGCGTACTCTCAGAATCGCCTCGAGAAGCTTGAGTGGCCGTATGAGAATTGAGTGTGTGAGAGTTGGATTCGTGGTCTTGAGACATCATCTTATGTTTTGACTTCTTCTTCTTCGACTTCGATTTCGGGCCCTTTCCCTTCCCCTTTGGCTGATTTGCTTGTCCGTTGTCTAAACGCCGGTTTGTGTCAAAAACTTCGGGCTGAGTGTCTTGTTCAATGGGCTTGAGCGCTTGGGTTTGATCTAGCTCGCTCTGGCATCCAGTCTTGCCGATTTGAGAAGAGGTAGTGGCCAATTCCCTGTCCCGATCTTCGTTCTCCTCGATGATTGTTTCTTGTCCTGTCGGTCCAGTTGAGTTGGGGGCAGAGGAATCCTTCGGCGCACATGTGGGAGACACGGGTTTTCCAGGAGATTGCTCATAAACACTACCAGTATCAGGAGTGAATGTCACGTTCTTGGTCGGAGTTGACAATTCGGATTCAGCAGCGTACATTTCGCGCTTGTCGCCCTTTGAAACCCGTGAATTATCACCATCCTTGATAGGGCCACTGCTGGGTTTAGTTGGTGTGAAGTTTCTAGAACAGCGATGATTTAGTGGCATGGGGATCTTTGCCCAAGCTTGGCGCCTTTCCTTGATTTCGTTCTTGGTGAAGACACTGGGTACCCAATTGTGGCTCGTTACACTACTACCTGGCACAGATGTTGTGTGTGTAAGGCGAGGCACGACCCCTTCACTGGCCTGGTTATCGGCAACCTTCTCTGCGGCCGTGGGCTGTGTTGTGTGTACTTCCTTTGGAGAAGCCTTAGAAGGGGTGTTAGGCAATGAAACACGAGCTTTGGTTCCAGTAGTCCCATTTCCGTCGCTTCCTGGACTGTAGGAACCGCATCGATCATTGCGATGCATATCCTCCAAAGCTTCCTCAGCAGGCGGCTTTGTCTGCAATGGCTCATCGACGGCTTGGCCGGCAGTCTCCAAATGTGTAGGTCCTGGGACAAAAGTTTGGTTTTGAGAATAGCTACGTACGGCAGAAACAAAATCAGGTAGTCTCGGCATCGGTTGAGCAAATCCAGAGAAAGCCTGTTGGCCACCGGTCTTGGGCCACATACGCGCATTGGCTGGGTTCGCCACAGATGGATGAAGCATTCCAGGTGGAATCTGGTGAGCCGCCGCAACGCCTGGGGTATTACCAGGCACAACGATACCAAAGGGATATGGAGAGAATGGTACAGAAGAGGGATGTTGGTCAATAGCCTGGCTAGAGGTCACCCGAGTCGGTGCTTGCTCGGAGAGTGTCCACTTGGAACGCATAGCCGGAGTGAAAGTAACTGACAGAGCGTGTTCGGGCATGTTTCCGCCACCCATCGTCAGCGCTTCAGCAACAGATGAAGGGTTATTGAACCTGATAGCAGTCGGTTAGTAAAGACATTTTGCCTGAAGAACGGAGATTTCAACCCACCTGACTATGAAACGTCCTGGTTCCTTTGAAGGTAATGGGTATACTTCGTCCACAAGCCCGTATCGTCCAGACAAGCCATACTTGACCCGGGACTGCATGTCTACCGATGATATTTTATGTTGAGATTCCACGGCGACGTGCACAGATCGGTTACGAGCCTCGCACATCTGGCAGGAGCAAAGAACGTAATCTCTAATGGCATACCCATCCTGGACGTTCCGGCATGTCACTTGTACTGGGTCCGAGCCTTCTCGGCGCCACTTGTTGTTTTTCCATGGTCCTCCGTCACGCATCTTCTGAATGGGGTCGGAACCAACATGTGGTTGAGTGACAGGTGCTGTTGCGTTTCGCTGGTTATGGCCACCTCGACGGCCTGTCCCTTTACGTCCACCGCGCTGATTAGCTCCACGATTGAAACCTGAGTTAGCACCGTTAAAGTTCTCGCTGTTCTGATACCAACGATTGTCGTTCAGCTCGGAGCGATCCAGGCGGGAAGAGTTGCTGAAATTCCTACCCCGGTTGGGGGGGAACCCCTTTGAATGAAAAAATGGTTGCTGCATGCTCGCGTGGCGGTAGTTTAAGCCATTAGAGGCATTATCTTGAGGGGCAAGGTACCCTCCTTGGGCAACGTGATTGAAGGCTCCAGAGGGGTGGAAAGTGATTCCCAGAGGATTGTGCATCTGATTTGGCTGCACTGCCCCCTCTATATGAACAACAGGCATGTAGTTGGTATGTAAATTTGAGTCCAGTCTTTGCAATTGGTTGGGATTGTTGGTGCCACCAAGGGGCCGCATGTTCTTGTGTTCCTGGGGACCTAGGCGACCAGAAGATTGGCCCGTCTGTTGGTTCTTCTTGGGCTCCTTGAAGGCGTCAGCCTGCGACACGGTATCTCTTTGCTTGCTGTTACGACCGGTGTCATCCTCCTTCGAAGGGCTCGAAGTAGCCTGGGCTGGTTTCTAAACAGCGTTCAGATCATCGAGAGAAGGGCTGGAACCAGTTTGTTGTGTACCACTGTTGGTCTGCTTTTCGGGAGTCCTCAAGGTTGAAAATTCCATTGCGGTCGATGTTGGCAGTGATGTTGTAACTGTGGACTTGCGAGCTCCTGGAGTCGCCCGAGGGTTGCCACGACCTCGTCGCTCAGCTTTTGTCGGGGTTTGTACATCGAACTCTTCTGGATCGCGGCGTTTCTTAAACGATTTCTTATTCCGCTTTGTTGATGAGTTAGGAGCAGCTTGATTTTTCTTTCCATTACCAGATGGCGGGGATGGCATAGCATAAGAGGGCTCGGTAGATTTGCACCTGATTTGAGGTGATACTTGAAGAGTTTCCCCGGAGTTGGTTATCTTAGTCTGTTCCGTCAACACTACGCCGCTGTTACTGTGAGCGACGACAGGTCCAGCGGCGGCGGCAGACTGGTGCAGGGCTTCCACTGCGCTGGGTACGCGCTTTTCGGATGGCGACTGATAGTAGTGTTTCCCGTCTAATACAAGAACGGGTGCGAGAGCCTTCATGGAAGTTGGCGAAGCTTGGTGGGGGTTGACCGCTGGAGGTGGTGGAAGGCCTGAGGGCTCAAAGATGCGTTGGCCAGCTGTGATCTCGTTAGCTTCAGGTTATATGTGGTGCTGTTGATTATTTATACATACCAAGCCAGTTTTCAAGGTTGTTGTCGGCGCAAGACTTCATCAGATGATTTGGCTTTACATCCGAACCCAGCCTTAGCTTTTCGGGAGCAAGTAACAGGGAGCGACGGTGTGTAAGCGCGCTTTCAACGAGCGTCATAACTTCAGCTGGAATACGACCGATCGACTTCCAATCGTCCTGACTGAGAAGTGAGATGATAGATTGAGTTTCATCCCAGTCTATAAGATTCTGGCAGTTGGAATCCATATACATCCATGAATCAGCCCAGAGGCCGACTTCAACAGCCGTTGTCTTTTTCACGTCCTCAGCGATGATTTGGTTCTCATGATAGAGATGGTTGACCACATTCCAGAGATTCAGGGCTCCATAGTTGTAGATATCGTGGGTATCGAAATAGATCCACAAGTCATCCCAGCAAGAGGGTTTCTGCATGTACTTCATGTAATTCCAGTAGAGCCTGCGAAGCGAGTTACAAACAGACTGGACTTCGTCCTTGTTCCAGAGGTGGACGCGACGCTGGGCCATCAGCTGGTCCATTCGGCGGAAAGGCCGTCGTCCACATTGTGTTGAGAAGATAGCTCCAGCTTCAGTACGAGGGTTCGTGTAAAACCCCACAGGGAGATAGTCTTCAAGATACGTCTGCCGGACACCGTCGGCGCTGGGGGTCTGAAACATCTTGTAGACGTTGGGTAGTCCGTTAGGATAGAACTCGTTGAAGGCTTCGCGCTGGTTAGGCGGCTGCTGACTACCATAAACTCTGCTTTGGTCCGAGGCCTTCTCTGGTGAGGTCGATGGCCCCATGGTTGGTAAGTCACCCCCAGGGGCGGGACGATGTTTAGGTTTAGGCATGGCGCGACCTATAAGAAGTGATTAGCAAATGGTGTGTAAGATGCAACCATTCTTAATCAAGGTGTGCGTTGTGATGTAGTTTGTATCGAGCTTCTGTATGCGATGAAATGAAACGTCTGCAAAGACAAATCAAATCATGCCGAAGGAGGGTATGATGCTTACCTGTAGCACAGAAGCGCTGCACTGGAAAATCAATCAACAAGACAGAGCGGATGAATTCCAGGTGATTGCAGAGGTGGGAGTGTGGAATGGAAAGTAAAAGATGAAGGTCGCTCCTTCCTGGCAGTTCAAGGCGATGCGAGAAGGCGTAGGGAATGCGGATGATAGGTACTCGAAGTGCGCGGATGAAGAAGGAGGCGGATGAAGGAGGAGATAAATTCAGAAGAGCTGAAAGGCCAAAGATAATAAAGGAAAAGTTAACATAAACTGAAAAACTATTTGAGTTGCAATCACTCACGGTTGCTGGCACTGACACTGCACTGGCACCGACCGAGGCTTGCACTGATGCCTGGTAACTGCAAATGACAACTTAAAAAAGAATGGAAGTACCAACCTAAGGGAGGTTCAAAGCAAAGTCGCTTCGGCCTGGATTTTCCTGTGAATTAGAGAGTGCAAACTGCAAAAAGTCGCGAGGCAACTCTCTGTAGATAGGTCGGTGGTCGACACCCTGGCTACCACGAGTCAGAGTGGGTTAAATTTGAACCTGCACAGAAGATATAAATGGAAGAAAGTCGACGTTTGTTGCAAATTTGTTAATGCCTTGTTTATACACAATGAGCACAATCGACCAAGTCAGTTGGAGGTTATGGGTGCTTGCTTCCCGCTGCACATAACCACCTCGACCCGCCGCCCGTAAGTAATAAAAGTTGTTTGCGTCCTACGCCCACATTCATTCACCCGGGAATCCTTTTCTTCTAGCTTGATTGACGAACAATGCGATTCGATTGGATTTATTGACGCTGGTTACCTGTTATGATTTAAGGTACTCACCCGAACAAAATGGGTACCGATACTGTGCAGCTTTTGGCTGAGGGTACATCATGCCAGTTACTCATAAGCTTAGTAGATTATGCTTCCAAGTCTGGAGGTACGGATAGTTGGTTGAGACTTTGGTTGAGTTTACCATATTGGATTTATCTTTATTCAAGAACAGTGTGTCAACATGAGTCGTCGTCATCGGACAGTCTCTCGGTCATTGATAACAAGTATATAAAGGGGGGCATAGGTATGATAGAGTTTGAAGTTTTCCCAGAGTGAAATCATTACTGCTGTTGCTTGAGAAGCTTGAGGATCTCGGACTCGTTTTCGCCAGCAATGGCCTTGCCATTGTTCCAGTCTACAACCTAGGGATGATGTTAGCCAAGAGGTGCCGTTGCAGAAAGATGACTTTTACATACCACTGGTCGGATGAAGTTCTCCTTGCTTTCCTTGAACTTCTTGAGCGCATCCTTCTCGGTGTTTGCGCCGTTGATCACCTTGGGAATGCCGCTGGTACCAACATATTCCAGGATCGTCTTAACTTGGTCTTCTGTTGGGGGGTCCTCAGTGATGTTGAGCTCAAACTGTTCTCGGATAGGAGCGGTCTGGGCAGAATGATCGCTTGCCTGGTCAAGAGTGGCGCCGGAGGATGCGTTGGCGGAGACCTGCTTGAGAAGGTTTGCGACTCTCACGGATGCCGGAGAGCTAGCCTTGTGAAAGACCGTCACGATATCGAGTGTCTTGTGCTGTTGATTGTTTAGTTACCAATTCCATAACCGCAGGGTGCAAACTTACAAAGCGAAACATTTTTTGCCGGATTGATCCTGTACTTCGTTTGTCAAGGGACGATAAAAGAGAAATCACGATTGTTCAAGAGAAGTTCACATTTGAGCTCCGATTTGGTATAGCTCCATGAAGCTTGTCACGCCGAAATCCATATGACGACTTAATGGCTCGGTGTTTACCTGATCCGTGCACGACCCCACCACAGCCCGGCTAGTGGATAACAGAAAAGTTGACTTCTACGCTTTGAGGTGTAAAAATAAGTGACCCGAGAGCACGGTCTAAAGTGGACTAAGCTGACTGACTAATTTCGTCTCTCGTGCTTCCAGCAAAGAAGTTTTCTGATCTTGGAGGGGCTTGATACCAGCTCATCGAGGGGTAGCAGCTAACACGAAACTGCAAGTTTAAGAGCAGGAAGTAAACAAGCAGATATTTCGACTAAGAGATCATTTATGTCAATGTTAGCTTATCTATAGTGGTTTAAATGGCAAAAACAGTAGAGTCTTGGCTGCTAAAAATAATCGTCAGATGAGCTGCCAACAGGCAGATGCTGTGTACCGACAACGGAAGTAAGAGTACCTAGTATTTATCAGACGAAGAACAACGAAGAACCAGAACATTTATGGTACACATTGGGTGCCGGTATCAATACGACCAATACGAATCGCATCATCTCGTTATAGTTCGAACCGGACTTCAGCGTACAGTATCGTCCGAGTCCGCCAAAATCGATATTAGGTGAACCGGACTAATGTAGAAGATCCATGTGGACAGGCATGAATGAGGGGCATAATTACTATGTCAATTTATCTAGTGTAGCCAATAGTACATGGTAAGCAAAGTAAATCTTGCGAGTAAAATAAATACCATTGTCTCTGTACTTCATAAGACTTTTAGTATGTGTGTTACCGAAGCAACTCTTGCTTGCATAGGGTATGTGAAAATAAAGTAAAAGCCAAAATAATAACAATCAGCACATTGCAAATGCGTAAGTAGTCTTCTGATATACAAAGTCACCAGACAATGATAGTATAGGAAGATCGACTCTCGTCCGTTTGTTCGTTAAGTTGCTATTCAAGACGATCAGGGGAGAGCCGCCTCGCCAAGTTGTGTCGAACCGCATGCACTAGAAGATTGACTGCAGCAAGCATGTGTCGCAGAACCCTAAAGAAAGAGTTAAATCTCTGCATCTCTCTTATGACGTATGTGCTACGATCTAATGCGTTTTTCTTTTGTTGTCGCGACCAAGCACTCTTGTAATGACGTATTCTATGAAGTCAGGTTGTGGAGAAGGCGTGTATGACCATGGCAGTAGCAGCGATTCATCGTCAAAGTGTAAACTACAAAAAGGTCTCGCGGTCGATTCAAAGCTTCTCTCTCATACACACTGCATCTTATCATTTCACATTCTACTCCTTTCTCTCCTACCAAAAAACACAACCTCCTCCAAATTTTCATCATGTCTGGCTACTCCAACGTTGGTAACCGTGGCGTCTACGAGGCTGGCGACCAGAGAAACATCTCTGAGGCTGAGCGCAAGGCCCAGGAGTCTAACCCCTACCACGAGGGCAAGGAGAACTCCCACGACAACCTCGACTCTAGTAAGATTACCCAGAACGCAAAGATAGGAAGGATTGATGCTAACGAATTCGCAGAGGATGAGCGATCCATTGCCAACCGACTCGCTGCTGAGGAGCAGAAGTCAGAGTCTGGTGACGATACTGAGACTGCCCAATTAAAGAAGGACCCTACCCTGCCTGTAAGTCCAATCGAACCCCGGTCGTGACATCGCATTCTAACATCAATCGTAAGGCTCGCTCTCACGGTAACGAACCCTCCAAGGGCGCCAAGGTCGATGCAGAGTTGCAAGCTGAGGAGGAAGAGGAGCTGAAGCGCAAGGGCAAGGCTTAATTGTAACAATACTTAGATCACGGCCGCTTCATTGCAGGCAAATGATGCGGAAGGGATGAATTAATGAACAATAATTGAAGTCACTCCATAACCACTGTACCGTGATGAATACAGCATGTGATAAGTATCGCTATAACAGCATGATGAGTTTGCAGGATTGTGTTTTCAAGAGCCGACAGCTGTACAAGTACATCTCTATTAATAAACTAGGCATGTGTTCATCTCGACAGGAAGTCTAGCGTGATTTGTCCATCGATTTGGACATGTGCGAACAGATGGACCTTACAGTCGAAAGATGAAGCACATAGACATGCCGAGATATCTGTTGCAAACAAGGAGTAGAGTCATCAAAAACATCACGAGTTTTAAAGATTTTATGGTGTTTGGAACAACATATGCTGTATTCATATTGCATAGGTATTTATCTAATTGAAAGCCTAGCCACTGACAGCTTAACAAATTATGAAAGGTACTTGTAACGAGTGTATCACTATTGTCTTGGTTAGTCCATGTAGCGCAACAAAGTATGCAAGACTAAAATGATAAGAAGTTTGGTGCTTTCAGAATATGTAAGAATTGAATATCAGTTATCCACCCGATTTAGCTACTCCGGCGAAAGAGAGCCATCCGGTAGAATCAATCGCAAATTACCTCATCTTGAAGCGAAGAAAGGGAAAAAGAAGTACTCGAAGCTTACCTTGATGCGCCCGGCGAAATCTTGTCGCTGTCGCTATGCTCGTCTCTCAAATTGTAAGAGAAGGGAGTTTGTCCGCAGGAAACTTCCTGTCGACCAGAATTTTTCTTTTGAAGTTCTCGCAGGCCTGGCCCGTGCACCGTTATCGGGTATTCCGTTCGCGTTCGGGGCGGTCAAAGATTAGTCCGGCAGATTAGACCGAAAGTTAGGGCAGGCGCGCACAGGTTCTTTTTCTGCTCACCATCAAAAAGACCTTAGCGATTTCAAGGTCCGCGGCTCCAGCAAACAACCAACTAACGGGACAGCATAATCGACAACTGGTATGAACCTCGACCCCTACGATCGCAGTTGAATCCGAATACACACTGCGCGCGCGACTTTTTTTTTTTTTGAATATTTCGACTAATCGACAACTATATAGATCACCGTCACAATGGGCGACGCAGTCATTGAGGGTTCGAACTGGCGCCTCGTTGAGGTTGGCCGAGTCGTTGTTATCAACGGCGACCACCCCTTCGCTGGCCACCTGGCCACGATCGTCGAGATCATCGACCACAAGCGAGTAGGTTTTTCCTGCTTCGATTGCAGCAACACACGATATTGACCCTCGCCATAGATTCTCGTCGACGGTCCTTCCGCGAACGCTAGCCTCGCCACTCCCCGACAAGCTGTTCCCCTCAACAAGGTTCTCCTCTCCTCTCTCTCTGTTGAGGGCCTGAACCGTGGTTCCCGAACTGGTGTCGTCCGAAAGCTCTGGGAGAAGTCCGAGATCGACTCCAAGTGGGAGCAGACCAACTGGGCCAAGAAGCGGGACCAGATGGAGCGAAGGAAGGCTCTTACCGACTTCGAGCGTTTCCAGGTTCTCCGACTCAAGAAGCAGCGACGATTCGAAGAGCGCAAGGCTCTGGCCAAGGTCAAGGCCTCCGCATAAATGGGTTATTTAGCTGGAGTCACGGGAGGTGCTTGAAAGTCGGGTTTAGATCAAGTGGCACGGAACAGGGTACGAAACACAATCACGGCTGTATAGAGGCTGCTGGATTCTCTTTTCGCTCCGTTCTGGAAGGCTGTATGCCACATTTCGTCTTTTTCAAGATGAACGGCGTCAATACGGAAATTCTGAGATCAACTGAATTCAAAGCATGAGGAGCACCAAAAAGAACATGGATTCATTGTGAAGTGTAGCCAAAATAAAAATGAAATGAATACCCCCTACTCTCCGCTGTGCTTGCATCTGCTCGTTTTGTTTGTCAATTGATCGATATCTACCCCCATATTAACCTTAATTAATTACTATTGCCTCCATGTCCATTATTTTCCGTCCCTCGTCCCTCTGAGAATCTGGAGGGGGATCTGAGGAGTAACGACGCAAAGTTTGATTACCTAATACGCCTAGTTCCCACCTCCCACCAAGCAAGCCCTAGAATTATCGCTGTGCGAGATCCCCATCACAAAACGAGGACGTCAGAGAATAGGCCAGCAAACAGACGTATCTGGGACCAGAAAAACAAGTAAGTACGCAGCTACGGTTCTGTTTATCGTGTTATTTGGCTCTCGATTTTTGCGACATCGGGTGCATTTTTAAGCCACAAATATCTCGCCAGAAGAGAATTGCTGTTAGCTAGAGTTACTAACATCTGTGCCCGCACCAGTCGCCAAAATGTCGAACCCCCGCGTTGAAGAACTTCCCGACGAGGAGCCCAAGAAGACCACCGTCCAGGAGCACGAGGATGACTCTAGCGACGACTCTGAGGTTGAGGAGGTTGGCGAGGGCCAGCTCCCCGCTGGTTCTACCGTGATCCACAACCGCAACGAGAAGAAGGCTCGCAAGGCCCTCGAGAAGCTGCACCTCACCCGCATCCCTGGCATCACCCGTGTTACTCTCCGCCGCCCCAAGAACGTGAGTGACGAGGAATCCCGAAGAGACATTGGAGGGGTAAATTGAGGAATGGTGCTAACCGATCTGCTCCAGATCCTCTTCGTCATCAACACCCCCGAGGTTTACAAGTCACCCAACAGCAACACCTACATGTAAGCCGGTCTCACAAATACAGTTAGCGACTCCCTTCTAACCTTCAATTCAGTGTCTTCGGTGAGGCCAAGATTGAGGACGTTAACGCCGCTGCTCAACAAGCTGCTGCTGCTCAGCTCGCCTCCCAGAACGCTGAGGACCACTCTGGTCACAACCACGGCGAGCCCAGCAAGGCTGTTGAGGCTGACGAGAAGAAGGAGGACAAGGAAGATGATGAGGAGGAGGAGGATGAGGAGGAGGAGGAGGTCGATGCCTCTGGACTCGAGGATAAGGACATCGAGCTTGTCATGACCCAGGCCAATGTCAGCCGAAACAAGGCTGTTAAGGCATTGAAGGAGAACGACAACGACATTGTCAATTCCATCATGGCTCTAAGTATCTAGGCATAAGTTTTTGACCGGACGATCTTCGACAAAAGCATGTGCATGGGACGAACACTGGGCTCTGTATTAGTTCTGGGCGAACTGTACTCTGCGGAATGGAGTTGATGTCAAACAACGGAAAAAAATCAAAGGGAAAGCACCCACATCCGTCAAACATTACTTTTGTCATTGCATACGTGATATTGTATTTTTGAGTCTAAACAGTGACTTGATTGTGATTGTATAATTGTCCACCCAGAACTAGTTTCGTCTAAGTGCGGTTGATAAACCGCAAGTTGGCATTGCCAAATATTTCGGGTGCAGCAAACGTTATCTTTTGTTCGCAATCGTGTACTTTAATTATCTTCCTCAATTGAACTTCCGTTTAACCCAAGCTTTCAATCAATGAGGGGTCCGAAAACGCTGCCCGCCGGATATTCGATGCCAGTGCACGTGACCTGCTAGCGCCCGGTTGTTCCCTGGAAGTTCGGCAAAGTCATCAAACAATCAAATCAAGATCAACCTCTCAGCCCTCTAGACATCGCAACCTTCCTCAAAATGGCGACTGTAAGTTCAATTCATCAGTTGGCGCGTTTGACTGATCACAGATGCTGTCGAATTTTTACCCCGATCCCGATCCCGCGCCTCTACGTCCCACGATATCATGAGCTAATTTTCCCCTTCTCCGACAGCGAAGCGCAGCTCTCAAGCTTGACTGGACCAAGGTCACCAGCTCCCTCGGTCTCCGTGGCCAGACCGTTGCCTCCCTCCAGGCCTTCAAGAAGCGCAACGAGGACGTCCGCCGCAAGGTCCAGCAGCTCCAGGAGCAGCCCACCACCGTCGATTTCTCCCAGTACCGATCCGTCCTCAAGAACCAGGCCATCATCGATGAGATCGAGAAGCGATTCAACGCCTTCAAGCCCGTTACCTACGATGTTAGCCGACAGCTGAAGGCCATCGACGCTTTCGAGGCTGAAGCCGTGAAGAACGCAGAGGCCACCAAGCAGGCCGTCGACCTCGAGCTCAAGGACCTCGCCGCTACCCTCAAGAACATCGAGGAGGCCCGACCATTCGAGGACCTCACTGTCGTACGTATCACTATATTAGAGACCATTAGACCGATTCTCACATTGCATAGGACGAGGTTGCTGCTGCTGAGAAGTCTATCGACGAGAAGACCGACCAGCTCGTTTCCAAGGGCCGATGGATGGTGCCAGGCTACAAGGTACGTTACAGAGGTTATATGATATTTAACAGTACTAACACCCACTGCAGGAGAAGTTTGGCGACTTGGCTATGGTTTAGACGAATTGCGACGTTCCCTTTCCGCCTTCGCGTTGTGTACTCTAGCATTGTAGATAAGAGAGAACTGGGGTCTGAACCCAGATTTTCCTCATACCCAAACATCTACAAAATTTCCTCTGTGCTTCATAATATCTTATTATCTGAACATGTCAGTTCAGACTGGTGTCTGAAGGTAGCATAGTGTTGAGAGCATGTCCAATGCCTAGAGCAACGTTACGTTTCACAATGAGTGTTGTCAAGTGAAAAACTGGCCATCCATCTTAAAGCCTTTGCAAAGCGCCTTTGCGTTTCTGTCCCTGAAATTTAGTAAGACCAAAGTGCCTATCCAGTAGACAATTTTATGGAGTTAATAGCATTTAACCTGGACTAGCAAGAACTAAACATCGTCTCTGATTACAACAAGCAAGCCGTAATATCTATCTTCTTGCATTTATTTGCCAAGTGTAACCACTAATACCGAATTAACCTCGAAAACCTAAAACCTCTTCTAATGTCTTTCGTCACTAATACCTCTACTGCTCCGAGTCACATATAGAAATAAGAGCGCATCAATGGCAAAGGACTGCATCATGTATTTCTGCACGTAGCGACTCATGTTATCTGGTTCAGTGTTTTTTTTGTTTTGTTTTTTTACACAATTAGCATACCCTACATCTTAAAACCGCATGTCTCCTGATCGATACACCATCATACATATCTCAACTCAAAGCAACAAGATAGGGTAGCGAGGCTCTAGTTCCTTTGACCTATTTTTGAAGCGCAATATAAACCTGACTTAGTCTGAAATTGAGATTGAACCGGTATAATATAACCGCTATCCTAGTCATGGTCATGCTGTCTGCTCCAAAGGTACACTCAGGGAAATCTGAACTCCCTGAATCGAAGTATTCTCTAGATATATTGGCATTGCGTTCTTTATTAAAGATGTTCGTCTATGAATGGTATCTTTTTGGTAAATTTGTGTCACGTGTGGAAGGTCATTGTTTTAGCCTAATTGTAGTCGCTTATCACTTACATGGTTACACCACAATATCCCTCGTGTGAATGTACTCGGTACCAATACTTTAGCCATAGGTACAACGTTCTACCCTTAGAAATCATGAGTTTTCCTGATCCTGAGCTTGTAAGCTATGTCTTCGAGAAAGCTCCTCCCCTAGAACCTGCTTGGTTAGAACACGAGGATGAAGTGAAGAAGAAGGGCCCTCCTCAGACATTCAATACTACCCAGGAGAGACAACCAGTCTATGCTCGAGAGTGCCGTGCTCTTTACGAACAAATGACTGCACCTGGGGCTCGAGACTACGATTTATCTCAGGGATTCATCAAGAAGGAGCTTACGGTGTCCTCATCCGTGGATGGCCACCCAATTCCCATTCTTCAACTAGAGCTTGAGGAGAATGAGAGTCATGAACCAGAGGTTATAGTTATCTTCTTTCATGGAGGAGGCCTAAAGGTCGGCGAGGCAGATAGTGAAGAGCTTTCGTGTCGGCATATCGTCAAGTCAGCGGTGGCCAAGGTCCGTCTATACTCGGTAGGCTATCGTTTGTTGCCCCAGAATCCAGCCAAGATATGCCTTTCAGATTGCCTGGATGCGTTCAGAGCACTGCACGAACCGGGTGTGAAGATAATTGTTGCTGGGAGCTCAAGTGGTGGGCAGATGGCATCTGCGGTAGCTCAATCGGTCCCTCAAGGATCGATACATGGTCTGCTACTAAGGTGTCCTGTTACAGCCGATAGAGCTAGTGGCGAAGAATTTGTGCCTGAGAAACTGCGCCCATACCACACGAGTGTATCTCCTACTTTCATCACCTCTCTGAATGGATACCTGAATCGGGATATGCCAAGGGATGGCCTTGAGAAACTGCCTCTGGAGGCTACCGCAGCGGAGTTGAAGGGACATCCTCGGACATGGATCCAACTCACCTCCAACGACACTCTTTATTCGGATGGGCTGTGCTATGGGATGCTCCTCAGAGAGGCAGAAATCGAAGTCAAATTGCAGGTTGAGGTTGGGTGGCCACATACTTTCTGGCTCAAAGCTCCTCACTTGGACTTTGCTTTGGCGTGTGAAAAGCATATGACGGAAGGCTTAAATTGGCTTGTCACTTCAAAATAGTACACGGTAGAATTGAGAGCAACTATGTTGAACGATAGCTGTCATATAGTAAGCATCTAGTTGCTAATTTTCAGGAGCGACACGAATGAAGAGATCGTTCAAGTCGGCGCACACCTCACTCAGGTTTTCCGTTTAGCGGAGGCTATAACTCGCAAAACTGCAAACCAGGTATTCCCACAGACTGTTAGTTAGCAATGAAAATAGATATGCCAGGTAGAAACACAACCCCAGACCCGGTGCAGTGAATAAAGATGTTTAGGTTTTCGGCTTTGGCATGGCGAGGCTGCCATATCTTTTAAAGGGCTTGAGCATATCTATATGGCTAAGGAAGAATAGCTGATGTTAGAATTTTGGGTATGATTTTAACACAACCGAACTCACTGGCATCCTGCTGGCAAAGTGTATATGCTGGACATGGTGACTACTGAGGCAGACAAGTCTTACAGGCCAATCACATGCAATTGGTAATTTGTATATGTCGGTTATAAGATCGTCAAAGTCATTGTGTATGCTGCGGACAAACGAAAACTTCCAGTTCTACAAGACAACGCCAAGCGCAAACCTGCAAGTGCTCTTGTATCCAGTCAAAAATTCGATGGGGGAGGTTCTCCATGAGAAACCAGTTGGCCCCGAACTCCAGCGTCTGCATTCCTAACTTGGTCATACAAGACTGTTCAAGTCTTGATTCTTTTTTGATTATTTCTTGTTATTTCACACTTCCTTCAAGGCTTCGCGTACTGAGCAGTCCACTCCTTGGCGGTTGCGATAGCCGCCTGCTCGTCCTCCTTCCAGCTCTTGGCAACATCGGCAGCGAGGGGATCGTCGGGGTTAGGGGCACCGAGAAGAGCTTGGATCGAGAGAAGGATGGTTCGGATCTGGAGGGCGGGAGACCAGTTGTCTGGAAGATTTGTCAGCCGGGTTGCCTCTGAACATTATGCCTCGATATGGAACCCACTCTTAAGAACGTCAAGACAGATGCGACCAAGCTTATCAACGTTGGGGTGGAAGATCTTGGTAAGAAATCGGATCTTGGGAGGTGTCATGGGGTAGTCGTCGGGTAGGAAGAGCTCAAGGTTGAAGACGCCGCCTGGACATGTGGTTAGAGTTGAACGAGATGGTCTGTATCGACGGAAAACGTACCCTCGTAAGGAGACTGGGCAGGGCCGTGGATTTGAACATCGAAGTATCGGAGGTTGTCCTCGTGAGGGATGGCACTGATTCCTGGAACACTATATCGCGAGCGGTGTTAGGATGCGATTTGAGGGCGCAAGACAGGGCACTTGTGTCTGAGACGGATAACCTACGGTTCGGCCATGAGCCTTTCTGTCTCTTTAATGATACGCTTCGGAAGAGCCATTTTGGAATACTGATGCAAGCTAAGCAAATGTGCGCGAGGTTTGACTTTTGTAGATTTTGGTATCAGTATCGTATCGTGTCGTCGTAGCCTTTGTGTCTGTGACAAGTGAAGGGTCGTGGTTAAGATGAAGTTGAATCCTTGAAATAAGGCGGGCACTTAAACTACTAAGGTTGACATGCACTATTCCGTAAGGTGCTGCTTGGGTCACGGCGGGGCAAAGATAGAAGGGATCAAGTAGAATCGAGGGGCAATAAACAGCAGGGTCTCTTAAGATAGGTATGGTAAACACAAAAAACGAAAAAAAGACTGGGGTAGTGTTTATAAAATGATAACAACTCTAATTGTATGGATTATAAGAGTCCCTAAGAAATAAATGCATGAAAGAAATATCATTTAATAAGTTAGTAGGTGCCTCACCACTCACTTACCTTATGATGCCTTTTCTTAGGCTCTATGCCATACAAAAAGAGTCCCACGACATATACCCGATACAGAAAGGTTGCTGTCTCGTCAGGTGCTAGACCTAGGCCAATTAATAACGACGGGGATGTACCTTCACACCTCAAACAGTAAGGGCGGTACTTGTACAACGTCGTAACGCGCTTTGACCATCTCCTTTCAACAACCACTAGAACGCGAGCTTCACTAACCAACTTCATGAACATCACCTTGTATAAACAACTTCGCATTCACAATAGCCTTCAACGGGCCCTTTTTTGGGTTTCGCTCTCTCTAATAAGAGCTCTCTGTTTTTTCTTTTCTTCTCTAACAGATAATGATATGATCAGAAGTTTCTTCGTGGCAGATCGCCGTATACTACATTCCTGCCTCATACGAGTAATGACATGAGGCACGTCGTGATAGTCTCTCCAAATATCCGTTACCATGCCGTCATTCGACCAACTCGCTGATGCCCCTAAGAAGGGCAAGGTCATAAAGTCTGCCTATGACAGCGAAAGCTTCGAATCTGATGGTACTATTCATGTTGACGGTTTGGTCGGTTCAGCCACTATCTCTCCTGCAGGACGAGATGTCGCATTAGCTTCGTAAGTTAAAAACATAACCACATGTGCACATCTAACTGTCCGTAAAAAGGCCCGATGGGCTCGCAATAATAGACCTTGATTCGCCATATAGCCCTCCTCGACGGTTGAGAACTCACGGTCTTCCTTGGCTCGTCGTGGATGTTCAATGGTCCCCTTTTGCTGCTCGCGACTACTGGATCGTTTCGGCCGCCAACCATCGCGCTCTTGTGTGGAATCTGAATCGCAGAGAAGACTCCAGCTCAGGGGCGATCGAGCACTCGCTGCAAGGCCACAGCCGCGCCATCACTGATGTCAACTGGTCTGCTCATCATCCCGACCTCTTGTCAACTTGCTCAGTAGATGGCTATATCCACGCATGGGACCTCCGAAGACCACGCCAGCCCGTTCTTACCTTCTGCGATTGGACTGCTGGTGCATCACAAGTCAAGTACAATCGTCAGGCATCCCACATACTTGCTTCAGCCCATGATCGATGGCTGCATATCTGGGATGAACGTCGCTCTTCCGAGCCTCTTAAATCTATCAAGGCCCATAAATCCAAAATTTACGGTCTAGATTGGAACCGCTCAGACCCAAAATCCATTGTTTCTTGTTCCATCGATAAGAGAATCAACTTCTGGGATTATACTGCTGAGGAACCGTTACAGCACACCATTGAAACTGGTTTCCCGGTATGGAGAGCTCGTCACACTCCCTTTGGGCACGGTCTCTTGGCCATACCCCAAAACGAACCAGGTGATCTATATCTATACGACACACGTTTCAAACCAGAATCAAAGTTGACAACTCAGCCAATTGATGTTTGGCCTGGACACGGAGATCACAAAGCAAAGGAGTTCCTGTGGAGATGCCGTGGTGGTATAACTGATGATGGCAAAGATAACCGTGAATTCCAGCTCGTCTCCTGGGGCACAGACAACGAACTAAAGCTGCAATGTATTGATCCCAAGGCTTTTGCTGCCATTGGACACAAGCGAGGCATACCGGCAGATCCGGCCATTAGCCTCACACGAAAGGGTGCTACATATAAAACATTCCGTACAGTGGACGAGACGGCAGACCGTGATCGAAAATCTGCCACCATGAGCGATCACCGCCCTGGGACCAATTATCACAAACAAAGTGCACTAACGTTGGGCATGCGATCGGGAACGACCCAGAGTCATCGTGCGGCGGTGGCATGGCGAGGCCCTTCGATGAAGGCCAAGGTTCCTGGAAGGGCCGTCGACCGCAATCAGTCACAGATAGGATGGATGAAGGGAATCGCCATGACCAAGAGAAAGGCGTCTACAAGCGTCAAACGACACCTGTCGAAAGACTCGGGTATTTTCGGACACGGTTATCCTGACGACGAATGGGCTGAACCCGACACTATCCAAGAAGAACTTCTGCGTATTAGCCACCAGCTCCCCAAAGTGAAGTGGGATAATATCAACATGGACAACATGACCCTGAATGCTTCGTTGAACGGACCATGGGGAACTGACGGAGACACCATCTTCATCAAGGTCCGCATCGATATACCGATCGGTTACCCCAAGACCAAGGCACCAAAGTTCTTCGTTGAAAAGTCGTCCTTCATGCCCGCGGAAACTCACAAGAAGATCGATCGTGAAATTCACCAACTAGCGGACCAGTTTTTGCAAAGAAAACAGAACTGTCTCGAGGTTGCCTTTACGTATCTCCTAGGAGAGGTTGATCTTGAAAGCAGCACAACCTTCTTCAAGAATGTCAGGGACCTTGATGATGAGCTTGATGGTCTGGCTGATGAGAGCTCAAGTGAGTCTGACGAAGACATACCCGCGGGAGGTTCAGCATCCATGTCTCAAGAACTCCCACCACACAACGAACTTGATACTGCACTTGCGCCTCCAAACAGGACTATCGTGCCACCGCCACCTAGAACGTGCGGTGCTAGATTCTCACATAATGGACGGCTAGTCTGCTTCTTCCCTTCCAAAGAGGAAAAGGCCAGAGCTCTTTTCACAACTACAATGGATGCTTACAGGGAGCGTCCAAAAGGGGAACCCTTCTTTGCTGGTTTTGGCAGAATCGCACATGATCTCAGCCCCCGGCAGCGATTCATGGCAGAAGACACTTCTGCGTCCAGTGGAGATTCTGACTCCTCTGCTTCAGGATCCTCTTCTTCCTCCTCGTCTTCAAGTGATTCAGAGTCTACATCAATGCACAAGATAAGTCTATGGTATCACCCAAGTCGTCAGTTTAGGAAAACTTGGAGCGAGGATAGGTCGATACGGTCCAGCGGCGGTGGCACAGGTGTTGGCACTGGCACTGGTACGGGAACAAGTCGCCGCCGGCCCGGTCGGCCAAAGAATCTCATATCGATACATGATTTCCGTGCTCTTCATCCCTCGAAGGAGGAGTTTGCGCGTGAGTACGCAATATTTGGAGATGGAGCTGAAGTGTGTGAGCACAATGCAAAGGTCGCTGAGAAGTACAACGCCCGTGATCTTGTTGATGTCTGGCGATATCTCGCTCTATTATTGAACAAGGGCGTGCCACTTGAGGTTCTCTCACACAACCAGCGTCGTGACTCCATCTTGGTGATCGCTCACGATGTGGTCTCAAGATGCAATGCCAATTATTCTCCTCGCGATTCACTCTGGGACAAGCATGAAGGTGCACTGTCAGGCAGAGTGAAATGGGGCAAGCACCCTTTAGCCCGCGATTTCATTATGGATCTGTTTGCATATTTTGAAAAAATTGCGGACATTCAGATGTTGGCAATGCTTTCATGCATATTTAGCGAGTCCACTGCTGCGGACAGTGTGGCATATTTTGAGTCGCATATACCTCAGCCCGATACTCCCCTTCCTATGAAAGCCCCAGCATTCTCTCTGGACTACTTTCCAACAGATGCCTCGCTCTGGAACATCGGCGGCCGCAGTTATACAAACTCGGCCATCACCACACCAATGACAGTACATACTCCTGTCCACTATGCTGGATCGCAAGCATCCGATGATGGCATATGGGCTGGAGATGCAGCGTCAAACTCATACTCTTGTGGGGAAACACCACCAAACAGATTCAAAGGATATCTCGGAGATGTTGAGGCACCACCTAGCGTATCGACATCCCCAAACACTCGTTTCTTGAATCGAGCCAACTCCGGATTGGCGTCTGCTTTTGCAGCCAACCTTCCGCGCTCGTTCGCAGGAGTGAGCTCTTCGTCTCCCCCGAATCATGGAAGAAAGAAACCAAGCCCTGCTGAAACATATCTTAGCAGTTTGGCTCCGGGCAATGTCACATGGAGTGCTTCTACTGCCATGGACTCCAATGGCGGCAGGACTTCATTGGATGATGATGAGTTTCGTAGGGATGAGTTCCTACCTCTCGTTCCTACAAAGATTTGTGTCACTATGGAGGATCAAACTGCGTTTGACGATGATGGCTGGTTGAATATACCATTACTCGAGTCCAGTCAGGCGGATGCTCATGCTCGCTACCGATATGCGTATGCTGAGATGCTGCAAATGTGGAATCAACCTCTTGCTAGACTTGAGATCATGAAGTTCAACTCGCTCAAGGAGGATATGACTGGTGGACACATCGATGACAATTTCCACGATTCAGCCACTGGTCATGATGGCAAGAATCATGGAAATCACGCAAATTCGTCTCCCATTGCTATGGGCAAGAAGGATCAACTTCAAGCTTTGCTTGCATCGGGCCGTGGTTTGGATGTCACAGGCATGTGTCGTATACATGAGATCCAATTGGAGCCTCTTCGATACACGTCTAGTGACCCCAAGGTTGGTGGCGCTGTGGGCACATGTGATCGTTGCCACCAGACCCAGAGTCAGCTCACATGTGTGTATTGTCTTGAGCCAGTGGATGCTCTGTTCCCTCCTTGTTTAGCCTGTGGCTGTGCTAGCCATGAGGCATGTCTGGCAGAGTGGCATGCTGCTGGCGAGACGCAATGTCCTGCGGGCGATGAATGCAATTGCGTGGAGGAGGCTGCAGACGGCCAAGTCGAGTCATGGGCAGCGCTGCAGGGTGCCATGCTCAAAGGACAAAGACATATGATGCTGCCTGGCCCGGCTATGGGAGATAGTGATGAGGACGTTAAGGTGACTCGCGACTGGGAAAGGGTAGAGCCTGCTGTTCCGTCGCGAATGCAAGGGTTTTCCGCCGCCAGCATTAGTCTTGGTAACAGATTGAGGAAATCGGCGGGAGAGTGGTCAAGGGCTTCAAGTTTGAGACGAGGTGATCGGAGGAACATGATGTAATATATTGGTAGAAACATCAACCCACGTGTGTCGGATGCATAGTTTGTAGAATATTTGCCATATGTGTCTTTACTATTATAGCGTTGAGATGTTTACAAAAATAGATGAGATAGAAATCTATTGCTCGTAACTTGGCTACTATAACTTTGTTAAAAGGAATGCTTAGTTCCATAATAAAAGAGCAATGACGGAAATATCTTTCTACGAGGAATCGTGCCCAAAACCGCTAGCCAGCCGCAAGTATCAAAATAATGGAGGTACGACAAACACCAGTTACCCAGCCTCGAAATTCATTGCACATATGGCATACTCTAACTGCTACTTTGGCATTCAGAATAAAATCAAGTATATATTAAATAGTAAATAAAAACAACATACCTTGGTATGCCCTAACGTAGTGGAGTGACTGGGTACTAATTTGCCGCCTCTGCATCATAGCCTTGTATAATAACGCTCTGATTTACGCAGTATGTCATGAACATTCGGTTCTTTCGTGAGAATCGAGATAGCTCATTACGTCGTGAGCTCGTTCCGTTCTCCAGCTCTGTTACTCCCCCTTTACCAGTGTCGTAGCCATCGCCCGTAATGAACCCTTCTTAGACGGGTTCTTTGAGTATGGCTGTGTGTCGGAGAATGCTTTCTTAGCCTCAACATGCTATCCAGCTCTTGCTTTCAAGTCAACTGTCTGCTGCGTCTAACCTCCCTCCCACCTTCGCTCCAGGCTTCGCGATGTAGATTGAAGGTTAAGATTCTCTCAATGGCAACCCATCTCAACTCATCCGCATGGATCTGATCGCCCGTTTCTTTTTTTGCCTGCAAGGGAAAGATTCGTACCCATTGCTGATCATCATCAGGAGCTTTGTATTTTCCATCGAGAAAGACAACCTTGGATACGATTTTCGTGCGTCCCCGGTTGAGTTCGTGGCAATCTTCTTTCCCGCAACGGCCTTCGTAGAGAACAGCATGCGAATCAGGGTCGCTGAGGTCTAGCGGTGCCATCTCGATGATCTCGTCCTCTACCCAGTACCTGAATTGCTTTGCCAGCTCTTTGAGCCGAGATTCATATGGCGCTTGCTTGTTCACCGGGATCTGCCAGCGTGGATCGATTTCTCCCACCTTCACAACCCATAGTTCATCCAGGTTAGGGAACCAGCATCGGTCAAACTCGATTCTCCCAAAGTCTCCCCGTCGATTGAAGCACATAGATAGGTAGACGGAGTAGTGATGAGGCATCTGTACCCGGCCATCATCGGGGAAACAATCCCAGAAAGCCATCCGTTTGACCCGGGGCGCCAGTTCATCTAAATACTGGTCTGTTGCTTGGTCTGAGATCTTATGGTCGCAAACAAGAATATCCTTAGAAAAATCCAAGAAAGATCCGCGGCCTATTGGCTCATACCCTAGTCGAGTTTCATCTCGCGCTTCGGTATTGACTTGTGTAACAGTTGGTAACGGACAAGACCCATTCCCTTGGGCTAGATCACCGTATAAAACGATGCGAGGCTCGTTGGCCCGCGACCATATCTTCAGGCGAAGTTCGGGAGGCAAAGAAGTGAAGCTGGTTGTGGATGAAGTTGATAGGTCCCAATAAGGCATGGTTTCAGAGTCGTATACTGAAAACGAGGACATGTTTACCATGACGAACGGAGGATGCAGCCTCCAGAGAAGATAGTTTGACGGAGACCATTGAGGTTTATAACCAACCAAGAGGTACGTACGTATGTATGAGCAGCGGTTTGGATCCCACCCACGTCGGGTATATAGTGCCAAATGCTAGCACAGGGGTTCTCACGAGGACAGACGGAAACGGTGTCATACCTACATGTTGGGGGGGCCATGACCGTTTGCGGCATATCCGGGGCGGGAAAAATAGTTGATCCTCGTGAAGCCATCGTCAGACGTGATGCTTGTACAATGTCACTGTTTACTAAAACTGGGATGGTTCACCGACACCGTCTTAGAGCGGTTCGATAGCAGCATGGTACATGGTGGATTTGGCTCCCTCAGCCGGCCTACCAATGAGGCTGCTCTCCAAGGGAGGGAATGGTGATGAGACCGGGGTGAGCCGCAGATGGTGCAAGACGTCTAATGGACGATCACACTTTATCGAGGATTTCGCGCTTCTCGTTCGCCTGTCTATCTTGTAAAAAGCAAAGCTAGCCAGCGCCGCACCGCGCCGGGCCTTTTTCCCGGTCGTCTGTGATCTCGTCAAACACGCTCACTAATCTTCTTTTCTTTCCGAGCCATGTTAATATTACAGATAGTATTATATCCAGTAACAGTCGAGCGGTCAGCAGAACAGTTGACGGAACGCATCGGTCCAAGACTTAAAATATGTCGCTATCTCAGGGTGAGTGTTGGTGAGCTGTCTTGGACGATGGTCTGATGCGAGTTGAGCCGTGATAGATTATCCCAGTCATGCGTCAGAAACCTGCGGGCGAGGCCGATGCAATGCTAAAGCCAGAGAACGTCAGGTTGTAGCTCAGTACAGGGTACAGTTCACTGTCACGTTGGGAGGTGACCGCTTATGATACTGCACTGTACAGGACAATATCGCACTAGGGATGCCGATTGTCCAGCATCGGTCTAGGGAGCGGTTATCCGGGAACGTGGGTCTATTAAAGCGTACAGATGATTGCTTTCAGCTCAGTATGCATGGGAGAAGAGAAGTGGATATGACTCGCTGGCTCCCGTCTAACCTTGATTCTGGAACTTGCTTGCCAGGCCGAGGCGAAAGCGTTCCAGTTGGGCCGTATTCTCTGTGTTGTTATCAATGCACAGTACTTAGACTCGAATCACATACTCAGGGTTGGACCCGGGGGTTTGGGTGGTTAAAGTGAGGCGGGAGGGTTTGAACCTGCAAGGGATATCGGGTAACCCCGTGTGGAGTCTGTAAAGTTAAGGCGGGAGAGTACGCGATTGGTGTGCCAGTGTAATGGTTCTGGGACCAGCCAACATGAATGTATTTACCCAAGTCGGGATGTGATTGGCAGTGAGATCTGACCCTGAGCAACAGTAACCTTGGGACTGTTTCGCATGCTCATGATCTGCCATCATGGTGATCAACTTCGTCGCTTAAGATGCATCAGCAGGTGCAAACAAGTGGCTGATCTGGGTCCCAAGACCACGTTTTCTTCAAATTGGACCTGTCAAGATCGGGAACTGGGCTAAACGTCCGAGGGCCAAGCTATCTATCTGGTCAAGATGCACCCGCGGTCGTATGAGTGTGACAGAAAGATAGGCTTGCATTCTGATTGCCTACAGTGCTTATTGTGCAAGCCATAACAAGCCATCTTCCTTGATTTGAATGAGACAGACAGGAGGAGGATTGATCCCAGGCGAGAGAAGGGCGGCGGTGGTGTGCTGGATATTAGAATGGCTAATGGATTTGTGGTCGAGCGGCTGGATTTGAAACATCGGTGTGCATAGCAACAATGTGGTCACTTTCGATACCCAATCTTATCAAGAGTTCTTCGATATAGCCGCCAACGATGCAGTTTCTTGAGTGATTAACTCTCGAGTGTTGGACTGGATTGTCTTGTGAAAGTTGAGATGTGGCAGCTGTGAGTTTATGGTGTAGGGTAGTTCAAAAGCTTCGTTAGGTCGTTTGCAAGGAATGGAATTTGTGTTGATACACAAGGTGGTTGGAGCATCTCAATATGAACGAATCATGGATGTGTATGGAACTCAGTGCAATTAATAGCTCCTAAGGAAGGTGGTGCTGGAATAAGACAGGAAATAAGGGAGATAAACCTGCCTGATTGAGGTTTTTGCGTCCTGCAGTCCAAACAGGAAGCTGCTGTATGGGAGTCCATGCATCGCAGGGCACCTACCCCACTCGCCAACAGGTTCCATGTAGGCAGGTCTTGCCTGTGTTTAACATCATGCAATGAGAAAACACGCATATCTATCACCAACATCCAAGTGTGAACGTGATACAATCAAAGAAGACACATCCCGTCCATATATTGAATGTCAGAGCGGAGCTTTTAGCTTCCTAAGTACGGATACCTGCAGCAGAACGCGCTTAGATCAATCAATCAATCCGATCCATTCCATGATGGGAAACGCTGCAACACGATCTCCAAGCCCACTAGCCCTTAATGACACCGACCCACTCATGACAACTGTCAATGTCAATTGGCATCATTGCCAATCTCAGGCGCAATCCCGAACTTCACACCAGAGTCTTGGTCCAGCTCCAGGCCCTAGCACAAGTCCAAGCCGACACCCCGGACGCATTCAATGCCTTCTTGATAGAATGCCATCCCCTACCGATGACGAGACGCCATTCCCCTCGTTAGACCGTTCTACCCTCCATGGGTTTGGCCGTTCGCATCTTTCCCCTGACGATGCCTTCGTTTCGCCTCCTCGAGGCCCACGAGGCCGCAGCAGAAGACGTAAACGTCCATGGAAGAAGCTGATGTGGGTGAAGCAGTCGTGTATGTATACGCTTGGTGCCCCCGAGGAGACAGACTAGCTAATAAACCGATCCAAGATCCTGATAATTATACCGACCAAGCGACCTTTCTCGAAAACTTACAGCGCAACCCTCGCCTCAAGCCGTACGACTTCTGGCCTCTTGTCGCCGATTCCACCGTCATACTGCAACATGTATGCTCTGTCATCATATTCGTTGTCTGTTTTGTTGGCATAAACCAGGACCGCGTGTCTCCTGTTGCCGTTACAAGCTGGAGCAGCTTTGCGACATTCGTGGGGTGGATCTTGTGGGAACGTTGGCTATCCGAAATCGAGGAACCTGACGACCCGAGTCTGGGCGTGGCGGCGAATGTTATGGGGAGGGCCGGCCGCACTGGAAGTTTGAGACGGCCAACCCGTACAGGAAGCATCCGACGTCCAACTCCGCTCCGGATCGAATCGGCACCATCCACTGCCGCGCCATCTGCTACTCCTTCGGCAGCAAGCTCGACGACCAATCTACATGCGTCTAATACGATGCATCGAACGAAGTCAGCTTCGAATACGTCCTTGTTCGGTGGTATCGCCCATACTCCACGAGCGAGCCAGGAACATCTTCCTGAACTACCCCCTCCACTCCTGCCAGAAGAGAATAGATATAGACAGAGGATGGAAACCATTAAATCCGCGATCCTTATCTACTGTACGCTGCTTGGACTCAGTCCAATACTCAAATCACTCACACGATCGACATCGAGCGACAGCATTTGGGCCATGTCCTTCTGGCTTCTCGCCATCAACATCTTTTTCTTCGACTATTCAGGCGGCGTAGGTGCCAAGTTCCCAGCGTCCTTGTCTACCAATGCCGCTCTGATGGCATCAACTGTACTGGCCAGCCGGTTACCTTCTACTAAACAGGTGTTTAGTCTGACACTTTTCAGCATTCAGGTATTTGGATTGTTCCCAGTGTTTCGGCGCTATGTACGACACCGCAGCTGGCGTTTTCATATACTCTCAGCTATTTTACTGGTGTTGGGAGCAGGCTTCGGTGTTGGACTTATACTGGGGGATGTTGTAGGCACGGATGGATGGCCGTGGAAGAGCGGACTGGTGGGTATGATCGTTGGAGTAGTGATTGCTATACTAGGTACAGGAGGCTGCAGTTGGTGGCTGATCGGGCTTCAGAAGTACAAGAACGAAATACGAGGGCCATGGGATGCAGCGAGACCTATCATCATGAACCGACCTCGATGGGATGATGATTCATGACCGGATAGACAGAATTTGGTTGTAGACAGCGTATTTTGAATTTGAACATAGACGTAGACATATCGCGATTACGATAATATAGGCACGCTTGCAGCGTCAAATTCCCTTTTCGGAGTTTAGTTGTACAAGCAATTGCCATGTCAATTCAGTTTTCCACAAAGAATCTTGGCAAAATCTCAGCGCTAGGCCAAGCTTTTGTTCTGCAACACACGGAGCAACGCTCTAGAAATTGATTTTGATGGGGGTCTTCTCAAAGTCTAATAGATCTGATCAGGCGGCTTCGTCACGAAAGATAGGGCTTCAAGAGCAACCTTATTCTCACACAATACAAAAGCACTGCTAAGCAGCCCACTTATTCTTCCTTAAACACAAAGAAAAGACCACTCTTCGATCCATTGAGCACAAAAAGACCAAGCTGTCAGTCAACTTGTCCAGATACGCTCTAGAAATTGATAATATGGGGAAAATCGTGGAGATACGGAAAGGAAAAATGGTAGTGCCAGTTCTCCGTGCCTGAATTGTCTAAGCAGAGAGCTAATTGGCTTCAAGTAGAGTTCGAGGGCTGAGAGAATTTGTTGTTGGGTACGAATATGCGGTACTATTACCTATTATTACGTGGTCACACTATGTGCTTGCAGCATGATTTGATTTGGGATACATTAACAATTATTGTTGGACATGTATCCATTATAGATGTGCACTGTTGCGTAGGACAGCATGAGAAGCGTCTGCTGTGTCATGGTGGCTCGACTATGCCACCATTGGATGTTACTCGGGATACGAGATGCATCTTGGATGTGATGCTGATCTGACGTTGCACGGGTACATGTCATGACGTTGAAGGCCCAATCAATATCCAGTCAGAGTGAAAAGTAATAACCGCCAAAAAAGAATCAATTTGTTTAAAGAATTGGGTTGTTTTGTTTCGTGGAGTTGCAGTTTACGTTGTCGACCTCAACCAGACATCAACACCTACCCGAATTGGAAATCAACTTCCACCAATAGTACGAGAATAGTCCAAGTCTGCTACTGATCTCCAAAGGGAGAGGGCAACCCAGAAGAGAGAGGCCCTGAGAGGGGGCAATTTCTTAGGGAATCATACACACCTCAAGCCATAAAAGTCCTAGCGAGGGACATTGACGCGTAAGTGTCTATGTCTGTTGGGGGCTTTGCTACCTCTACATCACAACGCAGACGCAGACGTACTATGTCGACGCAGTTGCATACGCATGCAGGGAGAGAGGGAGGGGTATAAGCTGACGTTGATTAGTAGTAGGCAGTTGCAGAGAGGGAAGCGATTATCTGCCGCAGGCATTCAATGCAATTGCAGTTAAGCTCACTGCCACTAGGTATTACCAGCCTTGTCAATATTGAATACCTATCTACTTACCTCCCCACTAACTAACTACAGCTAGGTATCTACCGTCTTTGTAGCGGCTGAGTTGAGAGTAGGTAAGGTAAAGCATGTCATCAATCCATGGCGCTTGATCCTTTCTTCTCTAACTGATTGCGGCGGTTGTCTGTTGGTTCTATCAAGGTAATCGAAGAGTAAACAAAGGCAACAGGGCTGGTGTTTTCTTGATTCTGCAGTAGCAACGGGAAACCTTGTCCATAGCAAGTTAAGGTTATTCCAATACGACTTGTCCAGCCAATGTTTTTGTGTGAGGTTGTCCGGGGCAATAAATCTTTTTAGCCTTCTGTCCCCTCAGCAGTAACACGATTTTAGCCTCCCACCTCCCTTCCCCTCCTGTTAAAACACTCAATGCAGATGCATCTGCAATAGGTGCATACCAAAAAAAAACGCCATGGCGCAGCCCTCGAAACGGACGGCAACCGGCAAAAGATGAGAAGATTACTATCTCGAGGTTAATAACCTAAGTTAAAACTCAAATCATGTCCCGAGAAGCAATCCCGAGCACATAATTGCGTCTGAAAAAAGGCGCTGCCATAACAATAGAGTTGCTGGAATATCGAGCCATGGTACATGATAATTCCGGGAGTTGTTGTACTACCACCTTGGCGACAGAGGATAACCTGACGGACAGGCCATCAGAAACTCTGAAGAGCAGTAGTAAAAACTTGATTGGCTGTGTCCAAAGTTCCAAAAAGTCAACCACGGGCGGGCAGGGAAGGCTGCCAGGGGTTCGTTCAGTCTAGTTCAGTCTGTCCAGTCTGTCCAGTCCAGTCAAGTCTAGGGGCAAAAAAGAAAAGCGACTAAAAAAGTATCGAATCGAATCCATCAATAGCCTGTATTCGTAGACGGGCGACCAGCCACTCTTTACCTAGAACAGGTATGGCATGGAGGCTTCGGAAACTTAGCTTGCGTCGACTATTGCAGTCCAGTCTATTCGATACTTCTCTCGATAGGTACGATGCATTCCTATAAAGAGGCAAAGCTGACCTCCCTGGTTCATGTCTTACCTCTCATCACATCCAGTCAACCCGCTTTCGTTAATAAGAGTCACTCTTGTTGCTTTCAGATCATTTGAAGCTCACTCGCTATTTACAACACATCAATCGTTCAAGTAAACTACCTACCTACCTCCTAATCAACATACCTCAACCAAAATGAAGGCTGCTCTCTTCATCGCTGCTGCCGGCCTCGCTGTCGCTCAGGATCTCAGTGGCCAACCCGAGTGTGCTGTAAGTCCCCCACATTGTATGTTTATTTTATGGACACCAACTAACCTCCACAGCTCAAATGTCTTAAGGAATTCATCCCCAAGGCCGGTTGCGAGCTCGACGACACCGCATGCCAATGCGAGTCCTCTTTCCAAACCAAGCTCGCTCCCATCATCACACCCTGCTTGACCGAATCATGCCAGGTTGAAGACCTCCTCAAGGCTCAGCAGGCTGCTGTCGATGCCTGCAAGGCCTACGCCGCCACCGCTGGCGCCGGCTCCACCACTGTCGTTCCCACCGAGAGTCTCGGCTCCGTCACCGTCAGCATCGACACCTCCATCACTGGCTCTGCCAGCGTTCCCGCCATCTTCTCAAGCATCCCTGATGAGAAGCCCATTCCTCCTGTTACTCCCCGTCCCGGTAACGGAACAATGACCAAGACCATGACAGAGGGAGGTGGATCCGGAGGAGGCGCTGTCACACCCACTGGTACTTCCGGCGGCGGCGGCGGCAGCGGCAGCACCGGTGGTGCCAGCAGCGTTCCCACCGACGCTGGTGCTGCTGCCGTTGGCCCTGCCATGGGTCTTCTCGCCATTTTTGCTGCTGCCATTGCTCTGTAAGAGCTCTCCTACATACTGGATGTTTGTACATAATGCAGTATTACCATGGAACAATTTGGGAAAGCTACTAAGCTGGAGTTATTGCGAAGGAATTCACGACATGACGTTACATTGAAGGTTTAAGTCTTTCGGAAACACAACAAGTTGCCATTCACCGTGATGGGAAAACTAGTAATAGATATATAGCATCTAATAATAAACAAGTATAAGAAAACTCTATTTTTATTCCTGTGAGAATAATGCACGACCTAGGTGTAGCTTCCGCTTTTGTCGAGTCATACTTGGGCTAATTGTTCGGCCCTTTTCAAGTCAATATCGATGAGCCACGGCAGCTGTACTAGTCGATATCTGATACTCATGATCGCCGCATTTACAAATAACGTCTGCTTGCCTGGAACTACCTGAGTATCGCCTTGAGTCAAGTCAAGCTGAACAGCTCTTTGCTTGCTCATTTCAATGAGGTTCTCCCTCGTCATCTGGGCTGTCTCTTTGTCCTGTGTCACCCGGTTCGGTCGCAGCCCTTTAAGCCCAAGCTGTCGTGACCGATCTTGATCGATTTCGTTACCATCCCAGGTTACATGATGCATTCCCCATGCTTCATGGATATGCCCAAAGCAATGAATCTTGGGTTTCGCACGAGCAACGGTTGCAAGAAGTTCTGAACATCCAGCGTGGGTACCCGTCATACCCGCAAAGTCGAGGATACCTTGAGGAGGGCCATGAATCACGGCCACGTCCATCCCTGAAGGGATATCAAAGTCATGACCGTTGCCGTACTGGAAAGCCCAGCCACCGTATACAGGAGTCCAGGGACTTGCATACAGCTTCAGAAATGCGCCGGTTGCCAAGGTAAACTCGTGAACACCCTCTGTCAAATACTTGACGCCGTCTTTTTCAGCTTTTGACATCCTACTTGCGAGGAGAACTATCGCGACGTCGTTCTTCTGTTTGCAAAACGATTGATGGGGATCCCGGTACTTGGCTCTGCTGGAGTTTCTCACTCCCCTTGTGAGGAGAGTCGTCTCTACGCGAGCTTGTCTCTGTTCGTTGGCCAAGCACCTCAAGTCTCAACTTTCGTTTCTCAGGAGAGCTATCCTGGCGGGATCGGTTGGTGATTTCGCCTAGAGGTATTGGTGACTGTAGTCTTCCTGCTGGCGGCTGACGTGGAGTGTAAGGTAGGCGATCTGGACTGTACGGCGGACGGTCTGGCGTGCGAGGTTGGAGATCAGAGGTATGAGATGGACGGTCTGGCATGCGATGTTGGAGATCGGAGGTGTGAGGCAGGAAATCAGAGGTGTCAGTCTGCTCTGGCGACACAAGATGACGTCGTGCTTGGTCTTCAACCCATCGTTCAACAGCAGCCTTTTGCCTGATTTCGTCCCAGTCGTCGTGATCAGGAAGGAGGTTTGGCCAGTCAGCCGCACCACTCATGGCGGCAACGACGCTCAAGGCCCAGGCCAAATCCAACATAACCTGGCACTTTACAGCATCTGCAATTGGCATCTCTATACGGGCAATATGGCCGGATATGAGAGGTACGTTGTTGTTAACTCGTACCGCCGCGAACATGCCTTGCCCAGGTTCAACACGGGCGGGTCTGCCATCTTCTTCAAATTGTCGCAGTCCGTTGATCAGCTTGTCGAAATCATTTGCGTCGCCCTTACTGGTAACGATCTTGGGCTTATCTTTGGAACGGTGTAGCCAGTTGAGTTGGATGACGACGACTGCTTTTGTTTTGTCGTCTTCACAAGGATCGATACCAAGGCACTTGAACCCGATCGATGTGTGATCCAAATACCAATGGAGTTGCCTGTTAAAATACAGCATATTCCAACATTTATCGGTAGTACCCACGTCGTCAGGGTGAGCAAAAAGGTCTGCGTGGTTGAATAAGGTATCTTCGTCTAGGAACATCCGGGCGACATGAATGACCTTTTCTGTTAGGTTCACGTTCTCTCTCGTATCATTCCATCTTTGAGGAATAATATGAGCGCATTCTCCCTCGGCAGTCTGCATAAAAATGCATCTGTAGTGGTCACGTTGTCGACAGAGTTTCTTTTCGTTCTCACTGTCGCTGGGCGGGAGGAAGGCGGCGTCAGGGTCTTCATTCTTCTTGGAAGACCGTGTTTTGCGAGATGTCGATTTCGATTTATTTGATACAGATCTGGCCCTTTTTTTGCTCATACTTGTCAAGTGACGTGGACCTGTTGTTGTCGCGACTACAGCGTACGACTCAGGGGTTTCGGGTTTCTGGAGAAGGTCTTGAGACTCGTCAGTAAGTGAGATTGTACAGGGAAGAGAGATTAACTTACATCGCTTCACCAGGCAACGTAGTGAGTTCATCTTGTAGGCCAAATCGTGCCAGTGTTGGCGGTATGAGAGATAACCACCGGGCTCAAGGTTATGTAGAGGAGTAACCATGATGCCGACTAAATGAACCTCAGTAAACTCGAAGTCTGGACGGTGCTTGAGAATCTGTTCCTCGATCTTGATAGCGTATTCATGACGCGTATCTACTTCATGTGTGGGAATGATTGTGGTAGGTTTGCGGTACTCCGGTTCTGCTTTAAACAGGGCTTTGACAGCATGGATGAGCTCTGGCTGAGCTTCTGCGACGTCGCCACGCAAAAAATTGTCCAGGAGTTCGTGCATCTCGCGCATCTCGGATATACTGGGCTGCTGTGCGCTCATCGTGAAAGATGAACAGGTGTCGTAGTATTAAACAGGTGTAGAGAATAGTGGAAGGTGAAAGGTAGAGAATTAAAAGCAAGTGAAGGTAGACAAAATAAATCGGTGTTATGAAAGTTTAATGCGCTACTGCCTGGTGCAAACGGCGCTTAGGTGTTAGAGTATTTCTGTACCCTCTGGCCTTCAGCTCAGCATTTATAGCATACTAAGATTCCTAGTATACAGACCCCTAGACACCAACATCAAACACACACCTCCAACTAATCCACCTTTTGCGCATCGCCATCCACGAGCGCGATCAGCCTACCTTAACATTCCGTCTCCTTTCGAGCCAACGAATACCCTTGAACATGGCAGAAGAAGCATCTCAAGACGTCTCAATGGGATCACCTCCCCCCGCGCCTACTCAAACAGACCAGGAGCCCAAATATGGTGGCTACTCACGATTCGAGATTGAACTCGAGGTTCGCCCTGCCTCTTCTCCCAGCTCAGTATAGCCATAACTAAAACCCACTTCACATAGTTTGTTCAATCTCTGGCGAACCCAGCCTACCTCAACCACCTCGCATCCCAGAAGCTCCTTAACCAGCCCGCCTTTGTCGCATACCTTGCCTACCTTCGGTATTGGAGCAAGCCGCCGTATCTTAAATACCTGACATACCCTGGCCCGACACTACGACATCTCGAGCTCCTTCAGCAGGAAACATTCCGACAACAGATTATTAGTCCTGATGTAGTAAGGGCACTGATGGAGGAGGGCATGAAAGCCTCCGTCGACTGGCACCGCGAGAACTGAAATGGTCCTACCGAGTCGGAATGCTACGCGGAGCAAAACATGACACGAACTTCATACATGATACCCAGGCGTCAGGCAATAATGTTGAAATACTTGATATTTCGAAGCAAAAGCGAAAACATTGCCGTGGCAAGAAGAAATAATATCAGCCTATGTACCAACACTGCTTAGCAATGACGAATTGGCACCGCAGGCATATTCTTGACTAAACTGTTTTAAAAAGACAAGCATTTGATGATCCAACTCCGATTCTCCTCGCATACAAAGAACAACCCATCGACTCGCAACTCAAAGAAAGTCCTTTGAGCTCAGTTTTCTCTCCACCGGTTACCACAGGACATGCACTTGAAAAAGCTGGTCATAGGCTCATCAGCACTGCGAATCTGGACCTGGAAGAAGGCAGCTTCCTCGCCATCGCATCCATCGGCAGGACACTGAGCAGGACCCTTCTGCGCATTGTCCCAGGCGCCGGGACCGCCAAAGACGTCTTCTCTCTCGACACGCTCGTACAATCGTCGCGAAAAGACAGGCTCGGTAATGTGGTGTTCGAAGGGGCAGGTGCGGCACTCGAGTCGATTGGTCCGCGTGTTGGTGAGGGAGACAGTGAGAATGTTCGCGCAATGGGGGCAGACTGGAGGTTGACGTTGGTCAGCTTGGAACGTGCATATCGATTTGGGGTTGGAGAGTCTTACAGAGCAACATGACGGCGGTTTGAAATGTGCGCGTAGAATAGTTGAATATGTATCCAATTTATAGGGAGGATACTCTCTCAGGTTTGGCAGTGGTCGTTGAGGTAATCGCGTTGTTGAGTACCAAGGCAAACTCGGAGTATGACTTTTTTTCATTTTGCCGACGATAATGAGGCTCCATGAATTCGAGCGGGTACTGCAGGATGCTTATTCCATTTCTGGATACGGTACAGTGCTGGTGGGTCTCATCGCTCAGGCGGCTGTTTGCTGTTTTAGCGCCATCCCCCGCCATTTCCGCCTTGAGAAAGCTCATAGGTTAGTACATTCAGGCGTCTGTCTCAGCATCAGCCCTCCACTCTCGTCGGGCAGCCCCTCCAAACACCGCCTGACGAAACACTTCAAGCAAGATCAAAACTGTACCTGATTTTAGGTGGTCTTGTCCATACCTCTTTTACTGCCACCTCTTTTACTACTACCTCCTTTAGCCTTGAACGACACGAAAGCCGCTTACACACATTACGGCTCCTTGTTCTTGAACCTTGACCAAATCTTCAAAACCGGCTATCGTCATTGTCGACTTTGGTCAATTTATACCCCGCTCCCGCGACAACAATTTGATAACCAGGGACCTGAACATGGCCGGAGACGAAGAACACGATGTAAGTCATGTCACTTCACCATGATCAAACTCATGAGGACCTCATACTCATACGTTTTCTATCATTAGGGCGCTTCCGTCCAGGAAATCTTGATCGAAGCATGCCGCCGCAACAACGTTGAGCTTCTCGACGAATGCCTAGAGTCAAAGACCGACGCCGAAATCTCAAAGCTCCTCAACGAGACCAAAACCGTCATGGGCAACCACCTCTACCATGAAGCTGCCTCTCGCGGAAATTGTGCGCCTCACATACATACAACTCATGAGATCCAAACGAGCTAACCCCCACCGCCCTTAGACGAAATCATCGACCACCTCCTCGACCAGCCCGAATTCGAGTGCGATCCTGTAAACATCCGGGAAGGCGACACACCACTTCACACTGTCATCAGATGGATAAACTCGGAGCCGCCTGCCCAGCGACCTTTCGGTAACGCCCTTGTCGAGATGATGCTCGAGGCCGGTTCCAACACCCGAGTCAAGAACAAGGCCCGCCTCACCCCATACCAGCTTGTCGACCCCACCAACACAGAACTCCGCGAGCTCATCCAGAAGCACGAATATGCGAACCAAAATGCAGGAGATTTCATCACCGTAAACAACTCGGGTAGCCAGGGTGCCGTGCTTGATGTTCCGGACGAGAGTGACGATGATGCTGAGTTCAGTGGCAGTGATGACGAGGAGCGTGCTGAATGGGAGAGGAGACGGAAGGAGAAACAGCGCAAATAGACAAGCGATATACGGCGCTTATAAATCATTCAAATAGAGGTTGCTTCTCATGAGAAGAAGCGGATCAACATATGGGCAGGCATATAGCATTGAATATCAGAGCGATAGAACCAAGGTAGCTTACGCAAAGGTGCAAGAATAAGTATTTCTTATCTAAGGTTATCGAAAATAAGGGGTATAAGCCTTCTAATACAGGGATGGTATCAATTCCTCCTCTTCATCTATCATGCAGTCGTGGGCATCTCGTTCGCAGCGTAAGTGCACAAAAGCAGTGCTATGAGAACAGGAGCCTGCCTGAACTCTGGAAAAAGGAGCTATCTGTAAGTCTTACTTTTCCGACTAACAGGAGACGCACTCAGACAAGAAGCCAAAGTGCTGTTGCCAATCCTGTCGAAACCATCAGGAGTCTTGTGGGCAAGACACTGTTTCCAAGGCTCTTTTCAGATACAATATAAGTGACGTCTGTGAGCTTCTTCTGTGTCAACTCCGACAGACCGCCTGATTCAGCTAGCTCGTTCATTTCTTTTCCAAGCTGTCGCAAAATATTAGTCGACCGGCCCTTGGGACACATGATGACTTCAAATCCTCCGCCTGTGGGAATAATGAAAGTGGACTGCTGGTCGTCAAAAGCGAAACTGTAGGCATCGGGACAGATTATCTTTGCCCTCTTGCTGTAGGCCGACGGCTTGCAGACATCTGGGTCGTGGTACTCTCCAACACAACAGTCCTTGTCAGTCCCGTATGCAGCGCATGCGCTGTTGCACGGGGAGAACTCTGGTCGTTGGATGTCGTCGTCTGGATAAGGGTAGACTCCATCCCCAGGCTTAGTGGGTGGGAAAGCGAGGTACTTCCATGGACACCAGTTCCGAGCGTTCTCATTACTAACCTGAGTTTCCAACGGAACAGGGTATGTTGAGTTTGTGTAGTAGGTTCCAGTCTCACTGCTTGCATAAATCCAACTAGGAGATGCAATGCAGGCACAATTGGTAAGGTTGGGTGGGACAAAGGTCGTGTTCTTCGCAGGAATGTAGTTGAGACCCATCGGGAGGTTGTAACCATCTACCAGTGAGATATCGTAAAAGGTCTGTTTCCCTTCCATACCACCAGCCAATGTAAATTCAGCCAGAGTCGCTGGCGTAGCACCCTGTTACCGTTAGAAATGCAAGGCTTGTTTCTGTAGAGAGCACTTACACTGGACTCGCAATCCAACTTTCCAGAACAGTCTCCCGTTTTGCAAGAGCACGAGTCATCCTTCACTGTGCAATTTGTGCGACCCCAGACCCGTCCTTGCCAATCCGATGAGACCCAAAGGTCTTTGCTTTTTCCTTGGGTGAGCTCGAAGCCTCCGGTTCCTGGGCCTTTGCCAGCTTGTGTCGCAATACCGGGCCATATTGTTGAGTCGCATTTGTTGGTGATGGTCAAAGGGATAGGCCTATCAGAGTCGCTGGAGTCATCCGGTTCCCTTCGTGTTGCAGCACTAATTCGTCCTGGGAAATTCAGAAGTCCTTTGTCTGATCTCTTGGCGGCAGCATTTGAGCCACCTGCCTTTGCAGTCTGCAGAAAGAGACCAATGGCAAGAGTAGGCACCAACACTCGACAGATGGAAATGCTACTAACGCCTCTACGTCTTGAAGAGGGCCCCATTTCACGACTCGCAAGGCTTAATTCAGGTTGGGTAAAGATGTTAAAGAAATATGTGGTTAGGTTTGCAATCCAATGCCACTGTCAAACAAACTGGCCTTGAATCCAAGGTGAAAAGCAGTGAGTATCAACAATTGGTGATCATAACGTCCAAGTAGCTAGGCATTCAAGCAGCGGTTGACAGGCGGATAGATATAACACAAGCGTGGTGTTGGTATGGAGCCAGGGTCCAGGGTCGAATGTGACGTATAGGCGATAACGAAGCTGCGAACCGGGACCGCTTGCTTGATTCCCAGCAACTGTTTCTTGATCACCCCTGTCCAAGTGATCTGCGATTCAAGAAAATGACCAGATGAATGACGGGCGATTGGCCCAACGAGCAGGGTGGTCTGGGCGAGGCAGACGTGGTAGGCTAGGCTAGCTTGAAAGCACGGCAATGAGAGGACGAGTCGAGATATCTGAAACGACAAGGGGCAAGAAAGGTTATGACGATGATGGGATAACAACTATTTTTGGTGTTCGATCGTCCAAAAGATAAACAAAAGGAGAAGAAGGATGAAGGGTAATTATAAGGTAACCGACAAAGCCAAAGAAGCCGTCTTAAGCAAAGGTGAGAATCAAAAGTCTACAAGAAGGCCAAGAAGAAGAGAGAAGATAAACAAGGGAATGACAGTGATTGAATGAGCAGAGAAACATCCATGGTAGGTACTAATGGATTCCACACTGGGATCCCGCCCAGGTTGCTCAAGGAAGGAAGGAAGGAAGGAAGTATGGGATGGCTGAAATTGATGCCATGCTCTCATGTTGGCTGGGCGCCTGTCTGTTACGGTGGAAATGACGTCAGAGGAGCCGCCTGCAATAGAACATACAACGATACCTACCTCTATGAACTCATATTGGGAATCACAAACAGCAAACAGAATAAGCTCAGATATCTACCTAGAGATGCCTAATTTTACTTTAACTCGATTTAATTGGGCAATTTAACACCAGTTAGTTTCATTCAATCACTAGCATCGACCGTCAGAAAAGCCTAATCCTAGGTGCGTCAAACATTGTGGTTCGCTGACAACTCATGTTGAAGAACACAACATATCCAAAGGCTTCAAGAAAACAAGGGAGGAAAAAAATAGAAATTAACTAAAAAAAAAACATACAACACCGGGGATTCGCTGGTCGTCACCGACCCAACTACTAATCCGGCGCTTCGCAGCTTGACGATGGGGGAGCGGACGGGACCCCGTATTCTCTACGAGCTTTGGTCGTATGTGATCAACAGTAAACGTTCAATGGGTTATGAGGCTAGAGATGACGGTGTGCATCAAAGGCAGTGCCTTCGGTCAGGGAGTAACCACTGCAACATACTTGGGTACATGCGTTCATTCAACTGGAATTCATTGTCTATATACGAGTAATCATCATGTCGTTCAGGCATGCAACTCTTTCCCTCTTGTACCCGGAACGTAGCACCAGGCTCAAACACACTGGTCTGTTTACCACGCTCCTATATTTCAATTCTCAATACTAAATCCAACATATTTCGCTCGACATGTAGAAAGGCCTCTACAAGTGCTCTCAAGGCCGTCTTAAATAATCTCCCCGTACGCTCTGAATGGGTGTCATCTCGACCTGCGTTTTCCTAGGTATCATGCGGTTTCAAAGTGAACCTTAAACTTATCGACTTTTCTCTTTCTCTCCCGTTGTTGATCCTGTTTATCTGAAGCGAGAGCGGCAGCGACCCATGACCTCGCCTTGGCAAACCAGCTCGGCGCTGAATTCTGAACCATCCAGCGTCAGGTAAATATCGAAGTAAACGCGGTAAAATGTGCCTTGAGGGGTATCCATGCGTTCAAAGTCCTTCTCCAGGTTCTTGCGGGACAAATCTGAAGTAAGGGTAACGACTTCCTTAATGCCTGCATACTGTTGTTAGTCATGGCTTTGGGTTTATGATTCCAGTCAAACTTACGGGGATCCTTGGTATATTCAGGGCAGACGTCATCGTCACAGGCATACAGGACATCTTCGTACATGAGGGTAGCACCTGGGGCCACTTGTCGGAAGAAGGAGACCTTGACGGGTTCGCCGTTCTTGACCTTTTGGCCCTTCTGGACGAAGATCTGGCGGGTGAACTTGCAGCGATCCTTTCCATCAAGAGAGGGTACACGGTAGGCCTCGGGGTGGTAGCCCTCCTTGAAAGGCTGAAGAGTAGCCATGAGGTAGTGTCGACGGGCAACACGGTGGGTGACGATTCGCTCTGTGATACCAGCAGTGACAGCTCCCTTCACAATGGCGGCAACGGAGTCCATAGGTCGAACAACCTTGGACTGGAACTGGGGAGGAACGTGGAGCTTGATTTGCTGGAAGAGGTATTCAGAGGCACCGAAACCACCGACAACCAAAATGTTCTGAAGAGTACGGTTCTGAGCCTGAATAGCGATAATCTGGTTTCTGACAAGCTCCAGAATACGGTTGACAACAGGCTCGAAGCACTGAAGGATCTCCTCGTTGGTGAAGGTCATGTAACCCTCCTCAATGCCGGCCTCAGGGAACTCGGCCTCGATACCGACATCAACAGCCCACTTTTGACCGTTGTTTCGGAAGTCAGCCTTGATTCGGTTCTCAAAGTCCATGATACACTTGGCGTAGACTCGGCCGGCCGTCTTGGAGCCATCAGGCAACTTCATTTTGCGGATCTTGGTGCGGAGAATGTTGCTGAAGTTACGGTTCAGGGCTGTTGAACCACATGAGTCGCCAGAACCAGCTGTACACTCGGCGACAGTGAATGGGTTTTCCTCCTCGACTTCGTACGCAATCAAATCGACAGTACCACCGCCACAATCCACAATCAGAACGGCGTCGTGCACCTTGAGATCCAGAAGACCGGTCTTGGAGCAGAACAAAGCAGCAGCCTCAGGTTCTGAGACGAGAGTCAGACGGTTGTCGTTCTCGTCACGGAGGAAACCGGCCTGAATAGCAGCGGCTCGGGTGGCGGCCTTTCCAGCATCGTTCCAAATGGCAGGGACAGTGAGGTAGTATCGGATATTGCGCTCTTCTCGGTTAAAGACTTCACCCAATGCCTTCTGCAGGGCTGACCGCATAGCCTGTCGAAGCTTGAAAAGGTAATCGGCGGCGACATCGATCTCGGACTTTCCTGGGGGCAGAGGAGGGAGGTTGATGGGGTCAATGTATGTGTTACCGCTCAGCATCAGTTGCAACTTGAACCACTCGACCTTTTGCACACCGGGCTTGGGATAACCGGTAGGGGCGAGGGCGTCAGCAATATCAGGTCCCCATCCTACCACCTTTTGGTATTGGTCGTAGTAAAGAACCGTAGGAATCTGGGAAGTATCATGTCAGCTCAAGAAATTGAGCCATCTCGTTTTCTCAACGTACCTTTTGCTTTGTGTAAGAACCGGCACCGGGCCATTCGGTGATAATATCTTCCTTGGCCTCGTTGTTGGTCGCAAATGCAAAGGCGACACCAGAAAATGTAGTACCCTATGGATTGTTTGTCAGTCACTCTTCTTGCCATACCGGCGGCTGTTCAATGTGCCTACAAAATCGATTCCAACAATCAGCTGAGCCTTGCTCTTGCTGGCACCCTCAACCTCGGCGGCAGGGCCTGGTCGCTGAAACTGCTGGTTCATGGGTCCGCCTGGGGGACCGGGAGGAGGGTATCCTTGAGGAGGTGGTGGTTGTTGTCCGAACCCGGGAGGACCTCCCATCGGAGGAGGACCTTGGCCCATAGGAGCCATACCGGGAGGGTAGCCCATGGGGGCTCCGGTGTTGATCGGAGGAGGACCGCCGACCATTTGAGTAGGAGGAGTGCGGTTAGGTTGTTGAGTGAGAGGACTGGTTCGACCAAGAGGAGCTTGGCCAGGGAAGTTTGCAGTATAGCTAGGCGGACGGTTGCCGGGGCCCGGGTGATTCATCGGAAGACTCGTCGTCGAAGACGATGGGGCGATCGAGGCAGGGCGTAGCTGCTGAGGAGGCTGCGGTATTTGACCTGGAGGAGGGGTTGGGCTCGGTGTTAGACCTTCCGGGGTCTGTATGCTTGCGGTGGACTTGCGTTTTCCGAAGCCAAGGCTCTTGAAGCGGGAGTTCATAGAACTCATATGGAAAAGAGGAGAGGAAGCAGAGGTGGGAAAGGGTTGAGAAGTAGGACCCAAGAGGTCAAAAGAGGTAGAGGCAGGCACAGGCACAGACACAAAGGGCAGCGAGCGAGTGAGCGAGGCGCCGCAGCAGGACGGGGACTAGGACGGGGGGCAGGACGGACAGGACGAGGGGGGTTTGGATCGAGGCGGATTAGGATTGGGCGTAAGAGGGGGAGGGGGATTTGAGAGTAAGAGTGGAGGGTCAGGTTTGGGCTCGGGTCAGAAATTAGCACGGGGGCGTGGGAGGGGCAGCGACAGAGCAGTACACTGGCAGTCTCAGTCGCAGCAAGCAAAAATGGTCAAGCTAGGTTCTTTTTCGTCTTGAGAACCTAGGAATAGCGAGAGGCGAGGCAAAGGACCAAGGACAGGTAATCGGCCGTCAAACCGTATGGTTGCGCTGATTCTGGTTCTGAAGCTATGATGCTAATGCCATATAATGCTTCGTTCAATTCTTGTTGAGTCCTGAACTGAGCAGTCCTGTCCCGTCGCGTCCTAGCTAGTAAAGACAGACTGCTGGAGCGTGCGAAGGGACAAAGAGGGGTGTGCGAGCCTGAGATCTTCACGGGATGGTTGGTTAATAATATTGAGCTTGGGCTGAGCTTGGGCTTGTAGCTGGCTTGAAGCTGAATGCACCGAAAACAGACTGTTGATACTCCAGGTTTTCTGGCTTGATGCAGGCTCGAAGCTTGGGCAAACACTGTATGGATGGTGGTAGGCAAATTGGATTTGGTCTTTCACTTCCAATCTGTGGGCTTTTTAGGTATCTTGGGAATTGAAGAATGTCTCTGCACCGTTGTGTAGGGTCGTAGTGACAGATGGAGTCGTGAGATTCAAAGTGGGTTGGGCTTTGTCGGGTTGGCGTCGATACGATACACGCGTTGGCCCGTTCAGTGCTTATTACCGTTTCGAGACACGATCAAACAAAGAGGCGCAGTTGAAAAGACGAACGGGTTGGCCGAAGAGGCGAAATGTTCAGGTACTGAGTAGATTTATTAGGAAATGCTGTTAAGGCTCTATCAATGTTAAAAGAAGAATGAGGATGCTGGTACCTTCTTCCTTCTGGGCTTGGCTAATAAGCTGAGGTTTAGTGAGTGGCTGAATTGAGGCGCTGCGAGCTGGGTTAGATATCCGCTTCAAAGATGAATGATCCAATAGAACGAGCAACAAGAGACGAGAAAGCAGTGTCCGACCGCTTCCAGTGGAGACATGGTAGAGACGCAGCTGACAGAGCTAGGATCTTTCCAGCGGTTTAAGGCTGAGTGCAAGGGTTTACAGGACCCATGTCCTTCTGTAATGCTACTGTAGGTGCATTTTAGCGACCAAGAAGGTCTGTTTTACACCGTTTTTCTGATTGAGAGAAAGTTCATGATCTTACTGTTACTAAGTTAAATATTAACATTGGCAAGACCGTGGGATAACGGCCCAACGTGTTCTGTAACTTAAATTACGGTTCAATGTTAGATCACTAAAATAAGGTTGTACTGAAAGAAGACAGTCCAACAGGCTCTTTCTTTGGGATATAAACCAAAGTCCAATGGTTTGCTGACAGGATGAATCTGATGGTACACTGGGCGATGGATGTTTCCCATTGTGGCTGTGGGTTATCCAGCACTAAATTAGTGCTGTGGAATCCTACCGGCTGAGATGTTTCTTTTTTCGGCAACCGTTCTGTGCCAATAACTAAATACTTGTATATTAGAGTAGAGTGACGTTTATATAAGGTTATGTTTAGTATGTAGAGGTCAGTTCAAGAATACCATTCTATTCTGTCTCTATAAACTTGACAAAGTGCCTCATGATTATCGATCATGACGTTTGGTAGTGATCTGGATGGTGGGGAAGATGCAAATGCAGGACACGAGCAAAGCCCCAATACGATACGGCAATCCCTTACGAGATAATGAGTATCTATCCTAGTATCCAAGGTAAAAAAGAAATAAAGAACGGTCACGCCGAGATTGACCATGACGATGCTGATGACGTTGGTTACTTCGTATCATACTCATCATGCCTACCTACACAGTCATTCCAAAAGCAACAAAGAAAACAGGCTACAGAGAAGTTCATTCCGAATACTGTACAGGTGCGAGCCTGGTTACCATGTGCCAGTTATGGTTCAGATCATCAATCTCTCAGCCGCTTCCACCCAAACGTAGGCTTATTTAGGCTTGGGTTTGAGTTGAGGCCTGGCCCTCAGGGTATCAGAAAAATTGACCGCTGGATGCATAAGAAACGAAATTAGTAGTTCACTTTATGCCCCCTAGAATATAGTTCTTAGACTATTTATTTTTATACCCTAAGACTTAGGATGACATTTTTTCTGCTACCCACTAGCTGGGGTATGCAAGCGTAGGACAATCGATGCAGGGCCCCGGATTTCAGGACCTTTCGTAGGACTTTATATGGATCCATTTCTTTGTCGTGTACATTTGGTTGGCTCCAGTCTCTCATCAACTTTATTGATTCGACATGGAATTGCGTCCTTTCTCAGCAACGAGAAGCTTGGCTGTCAGCGACTACCAATGGTCTGAAATCAGTAGCGGCTTTTCTCCCGGCAGCATCTCTGCTCTATGTTCCCGTTTATTGTGGTGTGATTTACCACAGCTGAATGGAAATCAGTAAAGTTTTCTCTCGAGATGTACTCCTCGAGATATACCATATTACCTTGCGCGTATGTTCAACTCACGATCCTTAACAATTATCATCCACTATCAGACAAGCTTTTCCATCCGATACAACCATTTGCTCAAAGGGAAGCGTGCATTTAAAGTTAGACATATAGCCTGCTGTGAAAGCGCTTACCTAGTTCTGGCCATACATTAACTTAGGACTCAGTCAGGAGGCCTAGACAATTGGGTTGTTTCCATTGAGTCAAAGGTTAGATGGACTGAGTTGAGAGTTAGATATGTATATTGAATTCTTGTTGAACCACGAATGGTGTAGCTGTGGTGTATGCGTGAATGAAAGGCGGGTACTTGTCGTTTATGGATGCATAATGCTTTGCACAAACTGCCAGCTCTACCAGACAAGGTATATGTGAGCCAATTGTCACCATAATACTAAAGTATCATAGAAATGTTCCAAGTTCAAAATGTAGGAGTGCCAGAGCTACTCGGGACGGATAACAATAATGTTTGTACACTCGGGGAATTACTGAATTTATAGTTCAAATACCTATTGGCTCACTTCCAGTTAACGTAGATATGTTGAAGTCACCTCGGTGTATTTATATGCGCCAATGCATTATCGACCTAAACGGAAAGGAGTAGCGATTATGACAGTATTTCTCCATAAGTGCAACAGTACTCGGTCTATCCGTAAGTAATTGCTAGCTCGAATCGCATTATGAACTCAGGTACTCAACAAGCAATCACGTCGCAAATAGTTTGTTGAAAATGTAAGTCTTCTGCTGACTTGGAATGTCTCTTACTGGTGGCAACATACCTTGACGATTATCGAGGTATGAGCGCTGTAAGTCTAGATTAGGGAAATAAGAGTCTCCCAGACTGAATAGAAAGAGAAGACGTGAACGCATTAAAGACTGCTGGCACATGTGAGCACTATTACTGTATGACTGATCGTCGAACCTCCTCATATGGCAACTCGCTTACATAGATATGCAACTGTTGCTGATGGACCGACTCTCCATGTGTCAGGGGGAATATAGATACACTGGGATTGTAACCTGAAGAGGCATGTAATTGTAAAAGGTACCGATGAATGGTGCCGGGCCATGAATAGCAACAAGTTTGGATTAGACACATGCACATACTCTACCCGTCCTAGTCTGAGGCAGAGTACATAATTTTCAGCATTAACAACATGATATGTGTTTGCTAGTAAAAAAGTAATCACATCTTCTCGGATTTATCTAGCTTAGATCTAACGTGGCTGTAAAGAGAAAAAGAAGTGATACCGTTCGTTGGTGTCACAAGTCGACAATCAGGTTATGATATACACCAGCACTACCATAGCACGTAAGATGAAAGGGCATGGAAGTTCGCTATTGTTAAATCTTGGAGACTTTGAACATATACAAAATCCTCCAAAAGTACCCATTACTTATAATTGCAAAGTTCATTTCTCCCAAACAGGATAAACTTCTATAAGTGTTAGTTTAACAGAAGTCGTACAACGCGACTCGACTCTAGGTATCACGAATACATACATAACTTACGTAGGCGCTACTTGAATTAAGGTATAATAGCCTCATATTCTTCTTCCCGTTATGTCCCCTGAGGAAACTAGTATAACAAACTAGTAAGTGAATCGGCCTTTGACTGCCCAGAAGCAAACACCAGCAAGTGAAGCACAAGCCCAAATCACTACCAGAGCTCATCGCCACAAACGATGAAACAAAGAGATTTGGCTGTCGTCTTAACTATTATGACGGTATTCCTGTGCAATAAATACGGTATGCAGCCATTGCTGTTGGTTACTCGAAGCTCTGTCACCCCAACTCTTGTTGATGGCGAATATATCACATGCATACAAGCTTCGTCCAACTGCCACTACATTCTTGAGCGTTGAAAGCCAAATGGTTGCCCAGAAGATAATCATGTTTTGCTCTGCTACGATATGCCTGTTCTGATAGTGCCATATCTGCGCTTGGGACTTGGCTTGTCAACGGATCGAGGATCAGGCTCACCAATAAATCTGAATACAACAAAAAGGTATCCAGCAGAGACAGTCTCAGTTAAACTACTCTAAGTTATCACGAGACAATTTTAAATACCATCCATCGATCTTAACTTGATGGCAAAAAGCACCTTCCAAATACACCACAGTCCAGCAAAATATCTATGTAGAATAACTATCGGGTCAGGCTCAAACAAATGGAAACTGTATCCGAGATACAGCTCAAAGACTTATCATGAATGCAAATTATAAGAAGTAAATGGCATAACACTTCTTCGTGAAGAAGACCAGCCATGCTCTCTTAGTTGCATTGGCTTTCGAGT